AGAAGAACCTCGCTTTCGCCTACAAGCTCGGCCCTCCGTATTCTTTCCGTTGCCCAGCCCCTTTAAGCAAACAATAGAAACTCCATTTTCACTTGTTTTTTTGAGGCCCATGAGGTATTACCCATCAAACCACCCACACATCCCGACGCCGTTTTCCAACTCCTGCAGCGATACCGTATCTCTTAGTGGTGCATCGACGTTCCTCGAGGTGCACCGGTACCTAGGCTCCGACGCTGCTCTCCCGCTGATGCTTCGCGATATAGTACGTGATGAGATTCTTCGGGTCGTCCTTGGCGCCTTTGATAAGCTCCCAGAACGGCGCATCACCAATCCGCGCGTGAAGAGCAACGCAGAGTTGCACAGCGCCCATGCGAACACCAGAGTCCGTTGACTCGAGACAGCGGCCAGCGAGGCCGGCAAGCTGTGCGAGCTCATTGTCTGAGGGCGTGAAGCCAGTGCGCTTGTCGAGAAGCTCCTTGAGAACATGCAGACCTGTAGCAAGACAGCGGCTGCCCTCGATCGTAGTGTCCTGCTTGCTTTGCAGAAGCTTGGTCATGACCACAACGATCTCGGGCGGGTCTCCGAGAGCTACGAGCTCTTCTGCGAGGAGCTCAAGACCGCTGACAATGCGAGTGCGTGAGTCATATGCGCTGCGCGTTGATACGAGAGACTCGAGGCCACGTGAGACGTGTGGCTGGAAATTGTCCCGTTCCTTCTTCAGCAAAAGCTTGATGGTCGCGAGGATCTGTGCCTTGACGTCCTGAACCCTCTCCGGCGCGAGCGTCTCAAGAGGTGACTCTAGATACTCAAACAGTCCTCGAAGCAGCGCCTCGAACTTCTCATCCGTGAAAACAGCCTTGTTGTCTCTGATGATTGATTGTAGCTTCCTAAAGCCGTGGACGTCCAGAGACTTCGCCTTAACTCTCGTAACACCGCTGTCAAGCAGTCTCGACGTCTGACGGGCTTTTTCGGGAGTCTCGGGCGTACCGTTGGCCTCAAATCCATTGCTCAGCGCTGGTGCAGCAACCTCATTCACGGGCTTATCTTCCAGAACGGGGATAGTGATATCTGGGTTGGCAGTTGTACCGTCATCGACGAAGGGGTCCTCGAACACCTTCAGTCCATTCGTTGACGCCGGCTCCGGTTCTGCCTTAGCCATCTCCTCTATAACAGGAGAGGGGGCTAATCCTCCCGCCGCAGCCTCGGCAGGAGCTTCCACGGTCTCCTCAAGCGGTGCCTCTTCGGTCTCGGCCGCTGGGGCCTCGGGTGAGGTCTCGGTGGGCGCTCCTACAGCAACCTCATCTTCAGGTTCTGCCAAAGATTGCTCGGCAGGCTCCGGAGTGGGCTCAGGAACGGGTTCAGAAGATGCTTCTTGTGCTAGCTCGGCCTTGGGCAAAGGAATCTCCGCCGCAACCTCCGCAGGCGCATCTGCCTCAAAGTCTGGTACTGTCGGCTCCTCTGTCGCGGCTCTTTGACGTCGATCCAAAGTTGGAGGCGACCTCAAGCTCCCGAGGCTCGGCACCACTAATGTAAGATCTTCATTGTCCCTGGACGGGCTACTCGTCGGGATTGTGGTCTGCATCCTCTTGGGCTTTGCAGGACTTGTGCGGGGCGAGTCGCGAGGAGAAGAAACAGATTTCGAAAGGGTTGACTTGGCGCCGGGTGACGCATGAGATGTCGCAGCACGAGGCCTACTTTGAGCTCTCCGTGGGGAGGCCTCGGTCTTCGGCCTCGTTGTGGTGCTCCTAGACTTGGGGTTTTCGGGACTAGATGTCTCGGCGGAGGGTCCGTCATGCGTGCGTACTGAGTAGGGCCCAGCCGTCGCGGGTCGTGCCGCCATTTCTGGCCTTCTCTTGGTCGGTCTCATGGGCCGAACGGACATGCCTCCTGAGGCTGTCGGCTTAGCGGACGGCGCTGGGCCGCTCGACGAGCTGGACGCCGCTTGTTGTGGTCGAGCGGGAGACAAATTGGCCATTGCAGAGCCTGGGCGAGGCGGCAACTTTTGTGATGCTGCCATCGTCGCCTTCTTCTGTGCCATCATAGTCTCACGCAAGGTCGGTTTCCCAGTGCCCATGGTGCTCTTTGACAGGCCCAGGCCTGGTCTGGCGCGTGTAGCCTCGACTTCCCTCTTAGGGGCGTTGGGGTTGTTGGGGTCCTTGTCAAGGAGCTTCTGCGCAGTCGGTTCCAGCGTATCCTTGAGCCTGTTTTTTTTTTCTGTCAGCAAGATGCGTGGCAGATCGGAGCACTCTCGACTTACATATCTGCCCTGGGTGGCCAGATTTTGGCAAACACCCAAAAGGTGGCACGCATGCGCTCCCTTACACCGGGGTTCGCGTCATTGAGCCCCTTCTTGATGCATTTCTCGACGAGGTCCAGTCCTCCGCCGTGCTCAATGTGACTCTTGTGATGTGCTTCCTTGGTAAGGATCGTCTTGAGCCAACCAGTGGCATACGTTCGGGGCTGGACATTCTTGTCCTGGCAAGCACCCCAGATATGCTGCATGATGCGCGAATTGTAGGTGACTTTGCCGATGATGATGTTGACTGTGGTATCTGCCTGCTGGGAAGCAATCTTCTTCGTTGCCGCGGCGAGTTTGATGAAGGTCTGCATAAGAAGCTCCACCAAAGGATCCATGCCGGGGCCAAAGGTCATGGCGATATCCTGTACGAGATTGCAGCCTTCTTTTGAAAGACTGGTCCGTAGCGAGGTGATGGCCTTGATGATTCCATCGAGTAGTCCCTTCAGACCCAGCAGGAAGGCGTCGGGGAAGTCTTGGGGGACGTTGCCGGCAATCAACCTACGCAACTTTGTCATGCTCTCTTCGCGCTTCAGCCAATTTTGCTCCGACTCCCTGCCCTCAAAGTACATCATCATTTCCCTAAGAATGTCGTCTAATTCACGCTGGGTGTTGGCATATGACGGCTCGACCTCGCTTCGCGTTTCGGGGGCTGGTGTAACAGGGCGCTCGCTCGCAACGGAAGACACACTCGCGGCAAGCTTCGGTCGAGGGGCAGGAGCGGGAGCATCGAGGCCTGGAGTCTTTGGTCGGTCGGCTGCTGTGGGCGCAAGCTCTTTGACAATGGCTTGTTCAATGGCGGGGCGGACATTGAAGTTCTTAAGCTGTCTCTTGAGGTCAGACTTGGCCGCATTGGGAGCATTCCTGCATTGTATCAATTAGCGCGAATCATGCGATCGAAGCCGCGTCCAGAAAACATACCGGAACAGCTCAATGACGGTGCTCTTAGCGACGTCGCGCACCATGCCATCAGCGTCTTCGAGCAACTCCATGAGAGTCGGGACGTAGGCGCGGAACTGGGTGCCGTGCTCCTGGTGCATGTACAACAGCCAGTGCATGCTGGCCTCCTTTGCCCTCGGGTTCTTACCAACCATGGCAACATTCTTGACGGAGCGCTCGACGTCCATGGGGGCGGCTGTGTAGATGGTGGTCAGTGCCTGCGATGCGAGGCTCCTGAACTTATCCTTGGGGTCGCCGAGCTTGTCAATGACCAGGGGAAGTGTGTGTTTCGCATCCTTGGCAATGTACTTTGGCTCCTGTCTCGACAGTCTTGTCAGGAGGTGGTTGAGGGCCGTGAAGCCGGCATTGACGAGGACGGCGTGCGGCGAGGTAGAGGCGGTACGGAGGCCGTCGAAAACTTGTGGTACGAGGACATCGGGAACGTTGTGCTGCTTGATGCCGGACTTGATGCCGGTGACGTGCTGGACCTTTTGATCGACGCTGGCCTCGCTGCGGAGGATCTTCAGCAGGTCGTCGACCTGTTCTTCGGTGATTTTCTCCGCCATTCCCTGCAGAACGAGGGTTGGGCTCGGGGTGGGTTGTGCCTGGTGCGAGCAGAAGGCAGTGTCAGCAGTTGTCTGTATATATCGTGGTCAATGGTGGTGTCGTTTGTCGTCGTTGTCATCACAAAGGAAGCTTGGACGAATGAGACGGTTTGCGCGCGCGCGGGTAGGTAGCCAGTCAGGACAGACGAGCGACGGGGAGGTCGACGATGAGCGAGGGTATGAATCGTTTAGCGCACCGGGGGAGGGGAGGGGGGTGTGTGATATCGTTTGAAACTGGTAGGGCAGAAGAAAAACGCTTACAACTATGTGCAAATATGCGTTGGGAAGCGAGCAGCAGCACGGAGGAATATCCCAGTGCGAAGAATGTGGCAGATTGGGGCCGGGTTGCGCAGGTGGCAGCAGTGGCAGAATGGAGATGGGCAAAATGGGGTTGTTGTTTATGGATGCGGTTGACGTTCTCGAAACCAAACAACAAAGGGGCATCGCAGGTTGTCCCGTGCACCAGCAGCGCCCAGCAAGCCCCAGCCCGGGCGACCATTGGCTGGGGGTTCCGCTCCTGCGGTGTTGCGGGACGCTAAGAAAGACCGCGCTAGGTCCTTATCCGCTTATCGTGAGAGGGCCCTGAGCAGTGAGGTGAGGGGCGGCCACGGGGCCCGGACCCTTACCCCTGCAGCCGCGGGGGAGGCACGTTCCCACCCAAGCAGCTAAGCACCTGAGGTACGTCCCCCGATCGGGAGCTACAGTTGCCTGTCATGCTGCACCTTACGGCGTATGGAACAGGGTCCTCCGTCAAGATGATGTGGACTCGTGGAATTCCTGTTTTCCTTCCCTCGTCCACCTCGGACATAAAGGGAGGAGCGTTTCCTGTTTCTATGCAACCTCTCGAAAACGAGATCGTAATGTTAATTATGTGAGAAACACTGGCGTGTAGTACAACCAGCATCCGCTTCCGCATGCAGCTACTTATCTTACCTCAGGCGTTGAAACTCGAGCAAAGTACGGATACCTGCGTCCCATTACAGTGATCGAAACCACCACTACCTCACGCTAGTTGGCTAAGGTAGGTACTCACGAAACCAAGGTACTCGGTAGCTCCAACAGGTACCCTACCTCACTTCAAACTATCCGGATCCGTAGGGCACATCATCTCGAGCTACTGCGTCCCTCAAAAACCCCCCTCGCGGGTCGCTCTCTCCCAGATGGTCCTCCCACCAAACACCACGCCCAACCCTGATCCCATCGCCATCTTCCTCCCAGCCATGTCATCCGCCGTCCCAGAATCAACACCAACCTCCGAGGCACCGGGCCCGGCCCCGGCGCCCCCAGCCGCCACCCCGCTCCCCGCCCACCTCAAATCATCATCAGATCAGCAACCGCTAGCCCCCGCCGCCGGCGCCGCCAGCAATCACCCCCGTCCCGTCCCGGACTTTGCCCTCCCCAAGCTCCGCCTCGAGATCCGCGACCTCAACGACCCGGCCGCAGCCCATTTCCTCTCCGCCGTGAACGCCAGCACCGCCCTCGCGACCGCCGTCCGCTCCGTCCTCACCCTCCTCTACGAGTCCCCCTCCAACCACACAACCCACGTCCCGCCAACCCGCTCCGTCACCCTCATCCTCCGCCCCATGGGCGGCGTCGCCTACACCACGGGCTCCGACCTCGACGACGACCACAAGGAGATCCACTTCTCCATGTCCTACATCGCCGGCATCCCCGCCGACCGCCGCACCGCCGAGATCATGGGCGTCCTCACCCACGAAATGGTCCACTGCTTCCAGTATAACGCCCACGGAACCTGCCCGGGCGGCCTGATCGAGGGCATCGCTGACTGGGTCCGCCTCAACGCCGACCTGAGCCCGCCTCACTGGAAGCGCGACGCCACCGGGAACTGGGACGGCGGGTACCAGCACACGGGCTACTTCCTCGACTATCTCGAGGGCCGCTTCGGCAAGGGCACCGTCAGGAGGATCAACGAGAAGCTTCGTACCCAGCGCTACAAGGAGAAGGAGTTCTGGACCGAGATCGTGGGCAGGCCCGTCGAGCAGCTGTGGAAGGATTACGGCGACAAGATGAAGGAGGAAGAGGCTGTGATTGTGAACAAGGACGATATTTCGGATGATGATGTTAGATTGGGAAGGATCCGAGCTGCCGACGAGGTTCCACAGTGAAGAGCTGTTCCACTACCATACTAGCGTAGACGAGGAGATACACTTCCTGTCATTTTTGGAGTTTGTTAAACTTTGATTGCCGTGGACGCGGCGCTATGCGATGGTCTCTCAGAAGGCAGACCAACAGGGAAGACACGGGATCACGGGGAAATGCATTTAGAAACTAAAGGTTTTATTTCAAGTCATGTGCCTATCCGCCCAAAATCTATTCGTGCTCTGTTTCCCAGTCCTGTTGATCCTTTTGCGCCTTTCCCTGCTATTTCCGTCGCCGTGCTTAGCGAGCTGACTGAATCAATTGTGATATACCAAAGAAAAGTTGAAGAGAAACCGCGTTCATGCGTGGACACGGGCCTGCGCAGTTTCGCTGCGAGTCTCGCTCTCGCTGACAACGCTTCCAACCTCGGACCAGCTAGCGGGAGTCATCATACCCTCGCTCTCACTCAGCACATCGTAGTAGCGGCTGTTGTCACCAGCTCTAGACGAAGCGGCATCGTTGGCGACGTCCTCGCCGGAGCCAGCGAGGGAGGCCGAGTCGGTGGGGGTGAGTTCGCCTTCGCTAACAAGCTCGGGTTCGGACATGGGTACGGGAGGCGACATGGGAAGCGGTGAGTAAAAGTTGGAGGGGCTGGACCCTTGTGCCCAGGCTTGGATGGAGGCATAGGCTTCTTCGCGGTTCTCTTGGCCAGCAGTCATGTACTCGTCGGCACCGAGCTCGCGGTCGAGAGTCGTGGACTTTTCAGATTGGGATGAAGTTTCAGAGACGTCGACCAGAGGGGGCATTTGGGCAATGGTGGCGGCAATGTCTCGGGGGCGTTCGTCGGCGTCGCGGGTGGTGGCGCTGTAAATGTCTGACACGGCCTCGTCGTGGGCGGGGGACAGGGAGCTGGGCTCTTCCATGACTGGCAAATCTTCCTGATCGATCTGGTGTTCGTCGGCGAAAGGGTTGGCGTAAAGCGAAGCGTTGAGGCCGCGGACACCCTCGGGACGGCGTCGAATAAGCCCCTCGTCGTTGTAGGTGGTTGCGCCCGTGTTGTAAACGAAGGATCCCTTCTCGCCACTCTTGTCCTCGTGCAAAAAGTCATCGAAAGATCTGCCCCGCGCTGGGCCTGGTGGCGGCAGCTCCCGCGATCCGGATTCTTCGGCTTCGATTCTCTCCTTCTCCTTCTTGGCCAAGGCCACGGCATTCCAATACAAAATCTCCTCGCGCTGGCGGCGGCGTGTCTCGTCATCGGCGTCGACTCCAGCTTCAGCCCCTCCACGGGACTCTAGGAAACCCTGGGCGTCCTCGGGTCTGTTGAACATGGGCGGGCGGTCGTTGGGCTCGAAACCCTCGCCCAAAGAGTGTAAGGCCATGGCGATGCGTCTCCGGACATCGTTGGCATATCGCTGAAGTTCTGGTGACTCGTAGATGGCAATAGCAGCTGCAACGGCAACAGACACAGCAATAATGCCGGCTGAAGCCAGGGCACCGTTGTTAACACCAGGCATCGTCAAGCGTCGAGGCAGTCAGAGTTGTAGGGAACGAAATGGCGAGAAACGGTGAGGTAGCAGGGAGCGAAACAGGTTGGTTGCAATTTTGCAAAAAGGCAAAAAGAAACAGATGAAATAGCAACCCGAGAAACGAAACTGGCAAGCTCTAAATTGGCCACGCGCCCGAACAAGTCGGGATTGCGTGGTCCTGGAAGCCATTTGCCACAGGCCTGACCACCTCAGGCAAGCAACGTGATTCGCAAGAGCGCTGACGCGGGGTAGTGTAGGTACGTGTATCCGTAGTGTAGGCTCCGAAGGAATAGCAGAACAGCAGATCGTCGGGCGGTGTTTGGGGATGCGGGCATGGGGGGATTCGGGGGAATTTCCATCCATTGAGACGGAGGGGCTGTAGGCGGTACATGGAAGCGAGAGGCGGCGACAAGGGGGTGGTTGTACAGATGAATGTCACTGACCTTTGGCGGCAATTGGCACAGGCATTTCGAGCAACCTCTGATCAGCAGGCCAAACGCACTTTGGAAATAAAGTATTGACCAGAGGTTGTAGATGCGGAAAGAAAGAGTGTGTGAAGGAAGTACGGTATGTAGGTGAGGGAAGTGGGAGGAATCGGAGCAAAGTCAAAGGAAGCGAAGAGAAAGGGAGATGGTGTAAGTGAGAGGGTGCGTTGCGTTGCGGCAGGCTGGCGACTTAGATACCTCTCTACGACGGTACCTTTCTTACCTTTTCTCACCTTGTCTCTTCCCTTCAACGGTGCGGGTTCTCTTGGGGAATTGCGTATTCCCTTACCGCAGCTTGAGCTCCCTCTCGCCGCATATGGACCTTGGTAGGCATGCCGCAGCCGTCAGGTACCCAGAGATAGGTCGGCAGGACGGGAGGCCTTGAAAGTACCTTGACGAGCGCTCTCGGTGGCCCCGTACTACTATTCTTCCAGACCCAGTACCTCTTCTGCCCTCACAAAGTCGGATCCAGGGCTGCCGTAAAGGGGGAAGGCCAGGAACGTCCAACCAATAGCCCGCTGCTGCTTGACCATACTTGGCGGGGGATCCCTGGACGTGACTTGCGTAGGGGGCGTCCGAATGGCTTAGCACCGATAAGATGGTGACAGTTTGATTTTTGGGTTGACTTTGGTACCTAGGCCTCGTGGTCCGCCTCGCCGCGAGACAGGCATGGACACTATCGTCCGAGTCCGCGGCGTGCGGTCAAACGTCCAACGAGTCACCCACCGCTTTGCCAGAGAGCCTAGACTTAGAAGAGGGCAGAGGGGCGCCTGCGCGTGCTTGATGGGTCTTAAGTTGGTTCATGTTTGGGGGCGCCGCCGCATGGCAATCCAGGCACCCACTCACGTCGCTTGACTCCCTGAAGGACCTTGTGGATTGTGGGTTGTACTTGTTGCCACCCACCGCAAGCTTCATCACCTATTTGCTGCCAGAGCCTCCAGCTGCGCCCGGCTGGAGGAAGCATGGCGTCGTTTATTGTCTCCTAGCCAAGCTGGAGGTGAAGCCTCTAGGGTGCGGCATCCTTCCGTCGGTATTGCGAGAATGCCATCCGCGGCGCGAACATCCCGCTGGTAATTGCCGAGCGATGAGCAACCAAGCCGAGATAGCACTCTCGTGGTCGAGAACGAGACGGGCATGTCCCACAAAAAATCTGGCGGGGGTTGAGGGCCAAATCGCCCGCGTGACTCGCTAACGCAAGGTCGGTGTGCAAGCAACGGCTGTCACGATAACATGCTCCGGTACTTCATGCAATAATAGTTTGTTGAGCTGGTAGGGCGTTGGGGAGAAATCCTCGATCGATGTAGCCTTCGAGAGCCACTCTCCTCTTCTCCTCTTGATCAGACCGGTTCTGGCGCTTCGCAGCTTACAGATCGGACGTCATCCGCCATTGTAAGATGAATGCGTCGAGTTGCACGATGAGGGTTTAAGTCATTCTTCTGATGTACGTCGGTATACGTCTGGAGGAAGGCACCTTACTCTGTAATTGTTAGTGTGCTCTTACTTGAGGCTTGGTGCTGCCGCCCACCGGCTGCGGGGCGCCACTGAATCCGGACATGGGAATCCACCTTGTAGTAAGGCAGCAGGTCGGCTCCGGGAACTGTTCGGCCCCGCTCCGGCTGCAATTCCGATTTTGGTACAACCCTGTCGGCAGAGCGGCCCAACGACCCATCCGGAGGGCCAAATCAAGAGTACGAGGTCCAAGAAAACGCTTCAGTCTTGCTTGATGCAACTTGCTCGCGGCACAGCCTAGTTCCCCTGCCGACAGTTGATCAGCGACAGTTTACCATACTTCAGTGGCCGTGATCCACCGTCCTCAATCCCCCGTCCTCAATAACATGAGAAACTCGCTAAATGGTTGATTTCTATGGCTAAAAAGACACGCATACTCGTTCGCAACATACTTAGGCCAAGGATCATATTTCATAGCGCCCTGCTCGTGATATTGCAACACCTTCATGGCTCGATGTGAATGGTTTTTATGTAGATATACTCCCAATTTGCGCGTACTAGTGTACGTACTCACTGAGATTATATTTCATGGAGTACTGGCTGGAATCCCCAATCTGCTTGCTAGCGAATCTTGCCGAAGACTACACCTGAGCAGCCTCACCAAGCGAACGCCAAAGATCTCCATAGACGAAGACGCAAATAGTAACATTTTACTGGCCAAGCAAGCAAGTAGATGATTCTGGCTGCAAGGATACTGAGCTTGAGGTTTTATGTATTGAAAATATAAGACGTGACACAAATAGCATTCCAGCTGTTGGCTTTCACCATGTTGGATTCCAATGTGAGGGGCAATCACCGACTTTTGGAAGAGGTTGTAAAAGGATGGTGATTCTGGCAACCGACATTTGATAAGCTTATCTTATGAACTCAAGTAGTCGCGCTGAGGGAAAATCTGCGCCGAAAGTAAACCGAATGCTGTTTAAGGAGTTCTTCAGTTGTATATCGTCGAACAGCACTTGTGATATTAGCGTCACTCACCGCCGAGATACACCTGGGTGTCGACAACTTCATACATACCTTATATGTACGTATACTTGTGCTAGCTCTCTAGCACCATAATAGTTGCTAGATGGCCGTGAATGGGAACCCAAAAAGATCGGTATCACTCCCCGAGTTTAGCGTGACCTCCATGACAACCTCTGATGCTCGCGCTATCTGGTCGTATCTGGTCCTTAACAGGACTTGACGCTATACCCATATGTCTGTATAGATTTCTTCTTGTGCAAACCTGGAAACTGATGTAGATGCACCTTGTTCCCGCCATTAATGAAGCGAGGAGGAAGAGCATGTAGTAGAGATTCACATTCAGCGCCATCCACACTACCGAAATGATCTTACTAATTCAAGTATTCTGGCAAGGCATCGCAGGGCAACTATCTAACCACCGGTGCTTATCTACGACGGACTAAAGTTCACATCTCTCTGCTGCTAACTTTGGCTGTATTCATACCTTACTTATCCATGCTTCCCTGCAGTCAACTAGCTGTACGTTATCCTTCGCTGCTCTAGACAGCATGAACCACCAGGTGAACGTCGAGCTGGGAACCATTCGGGCGTGTGGTAGTATAACAACGAACCGTGGTACTTCGGAAGACACCGCAGAAATCTAAAAACGCTTGTTTGCTTGTAAGTATTCGTGATGTTTGAGGTAAGGTATCAACGACTGACAAAACCCCATGCGGGTCCACCACATGCGATTATCGTGAACCCACCAAAACTTCAAAAACATACAACACCAGGTATTCGCTGGTCGTCACCGACCCAACTACTAATCCGGCCCTCATTGGCTTATCTATGGGAGAGCGGACGGGATCCCGAGTTTTCCAATGGGTATGGTCGTATGTGATGATTTGAATCGAGGGAAGCACCTATATCGCGAGATTGGGGAAGGTTGAAATGGATGTTTTTCTTGATTAACACAAAGAGATGGCCGTAAGAAGTGAGTTTTTCTTAGGATGGAAGCTAGCTTATGTCCCAACTGGAACGTAGGCCTTTCGTGTAGAGTCGACAATTGCTCGATTGTCCGCTTTGTCGAAGCCTGTCGTATTATCATTCATCTTTCTACTAACGAAACATAGACCCGTAAGACTTGCATACGCGTTTGGCGGCCGAAAATATAGAATTTCAAGAATCAAACAGTTGGATCTCGTATTACATTTCAAGAGCTTTCATCATCCCAGCAAGTAATACTCGCCAGCTTGGAGGGGGGTTCGCCACAGGAGTGATATGTCACCCACTGAACCCCCTCAAAGGCCGACGGCGCCCTCAAATCCTCTCGCATGGCTAATGGGATTCGGAAAACAATCTCTCAAGTCAGAAATTCGTCTCCGTGGCATATTGTACTCGGCAGCTAACTGATGGCACTGTCTAGTATCCGACCCCCTAGCTACTAAGAAGCAGACGAGCACTGGTGAGAGTAGAAGAGCTACCAATCTTCATCTTAGACTCGTCCGCCGGACCACGGCATTATCCAGCAACCGGACGGTCCACGACGATGGAAACCACGGATTTGTAGAACACCGTCCATACTAGGCCGTAAGGACTGGCAAATCACGAAGTCGGCGGTCAAGCAAGACCGACCCCGACAGACATAGGAATAAGTCGGCCAATTTTTTCTTTCGTTTGCCGCACTACGTTGTCCACCGGTTCTCGGGACCGACTCGGTGCTCTTCGGTGAGGTACGCTTACTTGAGAGCAGCGGGGGCTCTCCGAATCACGAATTCGCCGCTCAGACGTGGAGCTAATGTAGCCCTACACGATACAATGTACAACATGGCCGCCCACGGCTCTAGCGGGCTCGAGACTAGCGGGATGAAGAAAATGCTTGTATCATGGCCAACCGGTGGCGTGAGATGACTGTTGCTCAGGAGCAGGCGACAAACATCGACCCCAAGGAGTCTGGTGGAGCTGTGTTCTAGAGGAAGCCGTCGACACACCGTCTGGATCAGGGTCCGCCGGACGAGATCCACCGAGTCAACGTGGGATCAAATTATATGCCCTTCTCAATAATCTCATCCATGCATTGCATGTAGAACTTTCGTGATCGGGTCGGGATTCGCTCTCGCTGACTTTAGTCTCCGGAAGTGCCGGATGTTAGGCTACCCGCGGGAAAGCGTCTTTTTGATGGGTTTGACGGATCTGGTCAGTGACGATGTACACAGTATGCAATTTAGAGTGAGGTATAGTGAAGAACAAGTTCATTGCCCATCTACTTCCCGAAGAAATAAGCAAAGAAGACAAAATTGTCAGCTGCGAGCTGCTCTATACGCCAATATTTTCCAAACCTCCGTGCAGATCCTGCTTTCGCCCTTCGCCCTTTCGCTCCAATGCACACCGGCGTGTTGCCATATACGTGCTTCGAGTAATTTCTCACGCACACCGGAGTTGACGGATAGCATGCCCCCGAGTATTGGTTGTGGAGTTGAATATCTTTGCCGTCGGCTCCGATCAGAGGTCGCACGTTGGTCCTCAAGGGGTTTCCTATTCCTCCACATGTCGTGCCTATGTAACGCCGTGATTGCGCCGTTCAAACAAGTGGTGGGCTTTCATCACCCTATCCCGTCACCGTATTTGACCGCGCCGTCTTCGAGATTTTTCTTTCCCTGCCCGACTTTCTTAGTTGAGATAGTTTTAAGGCCTTCTTCTAGTGGGAGCTGCTGGTGGTCGAAGCAGATGATGAGCTGGTCTGTGAGTCGGTAGAGTTTGTCCTCGTCGCCTTCGTGCGCTCGCTTGGGGACCGTATTAGTGCGAAATGTCAGAGATCGAGCACGGTTGCTTCACTCACTACGTAGAGCGGTCCTGTAGATGACACTCATACTTGGCACTGCCAGTCTTGAACTGGAAACGGATGCCCTTGTTCTCCAGTACGGTCTGGAGTTGACCCTTCTGAGCGTCGGCGGAAGGCATGTTGAAGTTTGCGGAAGAGGATGCTCGAGGGTGTTAAGTTGCGGTTGTCCTTGAAATGTTACGAATGGTGTAAAACGATTGTCGGTAGACAAAGTCAGCAAGATACTGTTCGGAGAGAGATAATGGAGGCAAAATGAAGGGAGCAGCAGCTTGTTTATATATTACAGAGCAAGGGCTTTCGCAACACTAATACGGCTGCCGACTTCTCCAAAATCGTTGGCCACCCGCTTAGACTCGCAACAGACCTGCGCGGAAGAAAAGGCCCCAGCACTGGCGAACCCCAAGGTTCGCCGATTCGGGGACGAGGACTACATATTACATGGAAGTGGTCCACTCCGCAAAGATCCACTGCTAAGGCAAGGAGGGCAAGGGAAGCCGATATGAGCGATATTCGAATTTGAGTTGGAGACTGGGAATGGCCGTCAACCCCGAGTTTAATCGAGAGATAGTAGGCATTCGTTCATTTAGCCTGCATGGTGACCCATATTGCTTCGCTTACGGACCACTCGGTCACAGTGTATCCCAATGCTCATCTACATGCTCAGGTACCAAGCACCAACATGGGGTCTTAGTCTTGAAAGGACCTAGACTAGATTCCGGAGTATTGTTTCTGCCCCCCATCCCATCGATTCGTAGTAGGGTTCTTGGGCACGCGACATCCTGTATCCGGTACGATGGTATTCAAGGACCCCATTAGGATCGACACTCGGTTTTACAACACCAAGAGGTATTACTCGGGCAAAGTCCTACTTCGAACCAATTGCTGACTACCATCTCTGCGCGTGATGTACAATACACCGCTGGGGCTTTCTTCCTGGGGCAGCTAGAGATGACCGACCCCTTTCTCGGTTATCCCATTCGCATTCCGTGAAAGCTCTACAATCACTTGTCTTCAGCTTGCCCTCTGTATCGTAACACGGCAGTACCCGTGACTTAACCCTTACAGCTTCTCTTGACTTTCATACTCGTACACGTCCAACAGTTGATTACAAGTCGTCACTCTCCAAGCTTACGTTTCCCTTCCTTCTGAGTGCGACAAAGTACGCCTCTTTCGAGTCCTGTGAACGAGTCAGCGTATTCCCATACACAATGTGGCTCTCTGTCCCTACACTGCGAGATGACTCTGGCTTCTCTCGAAAAACCTTTGCAAACAAGGTCTTTAGCTTCTTTTCAAACTCTCTGTCCTCGGAGCCTTGATAGAACTTGCAGACAAAATGCCCGCCGTTCTTGAGTGTGTCATTGGCGAACTGCAGTGCCGCTCCGCATAGATCCTTGGTTTCTCACCTCAGTAACTTGATAGACAGCAGCAGGGAAGAGAAAGATACGTACCATACTCCCAGCGTGGTCTCGGAATGCCATGCCGCTCGTGTTCATCATCCTATGATAGGGATTACTAAGACTGTTCACGCCGAATCCACTGGTCTGGTCCCAAGGTGCTGACATGTCACTCAACACAATCTGGTCCTTACGTCAGTCTGCAACGTCCTAAAAGATCTTGATGAAGGGGGAATAACGGGAAAGACTCACATCCACCAATCGACCTTTCTTAGCTTCCGATCCATCCTTGGCGGTACTTGAAGTTTCGGACGCTGCTCTCTCCATGTCGATGTAGCTCGGTTTTTCCTCAATGACTGTAGCCTCGCTATCCGCAGGTGATTCTTCTTCGTCGTTCTCTTGTTCTTCATCTTCTTCTGCTGGCAGTGAGTTCCGCTTGCGGTGCCTGGCTCGCTCGAGATAGTCCTTCACCATGCCCTGGACGTCGGGTGAAAGGAAGTTGCCTTGGATTGTTGAGACGCCCTTGGGTGGCTGTGCGGGTATGATGTCGATGCCCAGGATCTGGCCATTTGGCTTCGTGCGCTCGACAGCAACCTGTTTAGCGATGTTACACGTACTCTCCCCTGACGCGCGACTCTCCGTTCATCTAAGAAGTCTTCTTAAAACCCGACGTACCTGAGACCAACTTCCTGGAGCATACCCCTTCATCGCTTTCTCAGCCTCATTGCCTCAATGACTCTTGAAAGGGACATCAAGCTACTCTCGGAGACTCACCAGATCTACTACCGTCTGGCCTTTGCGAAATATCTTGTATTTGGCATCCATCTACAATCTTCGTTACCATTTTTTGCCCTTGATTGACTTCATAACAAGATTTGATGGTTTCGTACCTCTAGGAGCTTGAACGCAGCCCGACTCTTGAGCCCCTGCACCTTGGCCTCGCGGGCGAAAAAGTCTTTACCCTGCCTCATCTTCCACCGCGAGTTGGAAGAAGATGCGCGCGTCTGCAAAGTCTCAGGAAAGCTTTTTTGACATTGCTTACATGTTGTGAATATGCTGGAAGAGGGTCGGCGCAAGGCAGCGCTCCACAGAGGGCGATATGCTGCTTCTGACATTGTGCGGATGTGTTGTGACAATGGTGGTTAGGATGAGGTTGGGCGTCGTCTTCTCAGTTCTCATATGACACGTCAAGACTATTGATAAGAGTCGGCAGATTTGACCACGCTTGAGCGTTCAAAGCCGCTATGTCGCTCGATGCTCATGAAATGAACGATGAGAGACGTTGAAGGGAAGCTTCTGCAATGGAAGGTGAGCTGAGAGACTTTATTGGCCCAAGCTTCTCGGATGCGACTAGGGGTAAGACTCTAAGGCGACCTCAGGTTTTGACAAGGTATTGGCTTCACTTCTTTCCGCGTCCAACATCTCCTTAGGCACAACTGAAAGCCCTCGGAGCGCTTAATTACACGGATACTTGCAACAAAAATCATTCATCAGGACGCAAAATTCTGGCAAAATGGCAACCGCATGCGGTCTCTTAATTGGGGGCTTAGAAAACCCTACGTTATCTTTACATAAACCTCACCGACTAGCCAACCCTGAACGTAAAAACAACCGACCGAAAACGCCGCCGATGCATTGTCCCTTTTGACTCCTCCCGTTGAGCTGAAATTCCAAGGAAAAGCATTCTTCGCTTGAAAGCACAATTATTCAAAGCCGATCACGCCAGGAAGCTGGCACCGACTCCCCTTCTGTCCTTCTTGAGCGGCGAGAATGACTTCTTGCCAAAAGCGCCAGCGTTCCTCACCATGCTAAGATGAGTCTTGCCGAGAGCTCTGCCGGCACCCATACCAACCTTGCCAGGCCGCTTGGTAGCAGCGGGAGGCGCTTCGCCGTCGTCATCATCGAAGAGTGTTGCAGTTTCACCGCCCAACTTGCGCTTCTTCTTCTTGACTTCTTGTTCGCCCTTGCTAGCAGCGGGAACCTTTGCGGGAGCCAGATTCTCTGGCTCGTCAGAGTGAGGCTCCTCCAGCACCTGCTCAAGAGGAGCACTTGACGGAATGTGAGGTTTGTCAGCCGCAGCCGAGACCCCCTGCACAGGCATATTTGGCGATGTTTCCGTCAAGGCCTTCTTTGGTCGGCCACGGGGCTTCTTTGCTTCACCATCATTCTTGGATTTCGGCTTTGCTTTCGTTGTCTTGGTGGGGGCAGGCTTATCCGCGGATTCTTCCTGCTCTTCAACCTCCTCCAGCTGTTCTGGCGCATCTGCAATCTCGACCTCGGTCCTAGTATCGATCTCGACCTCTTGGGAATGAGACTGGTGGGACAGAGGGATATAGCTGACATCAGCTTCCTCGTCCTCTTCGGCGACGGCATCCTCGACATTGAGCGTCTTGGACTTGGCCAAGAAAGGAGTAATGGAGAACAGTGACTTCTCACCCAACATCGTCTGCTCAAGACCCTTCTTCTTAGCAGGGCGCCTGCCGCGAGTGATGTCTTCTGGCGTGCCAAGGCTCATGTCGTTCATGGTGACCTCTTCAACTCTTCGCTTCTTGCCGGCCTGCGCCTTTGCGCCTCCGGCACGCGCAGAAAGCTGTGCACTCGGTATCACTGCTGGTCGAGCTCCCAACTCCGCACGAACGGCCTTCAACTCATCCTGAGCGTTGCGCAACTTGGACTTGACCGTGTCTAGGCGCTGTTCGAGCATCTCATTTTGCGTTTGGGCCTCAGATAGAGCCATCTCATGCTCTTTTCGTAGCCTCTCCCGCTCCCGCCTCTCGACTGAAAGCACCTTCTCCATCTCTTGGATCTTCTGAGCCAACTCGCGTTCCGCCTTCTTGGTCTCTTGTCCAGCCTTTGCGGCTGAGACGGCAGCCTCAAGCTCTTCCTGCAATTGTTCCTTTTCACGCTTCTCCGTCGTCAGCTTCTTCTCGACGTCCTTGAGCCTGCGCCGCAAATCGTCTTCGGTCGATTTGTCGCCTTCCGCTTGTGCCGTCTGCTGTTCCCGTGCTCGTTTTTCGGCAGCCAATTCTACTTCAGCCATATTCAGCTGACGCTCTAACTCCAATTTCTCGGCGATGACATTTTGCTGGTGGGCGACTTGCGACCGTAGATGCTCCAGTTCAGGTTTCATGGCGTTCACCTCCCGAGAGAGGGCAAGCTTCTCTGCAAGGACTTTCGTAGAATCTTGAGACAGGCTGTTGAGGGATTCGAGTTCGGCCTGGCACATTCGAGGTTAGGATAGTTCGTCGGGTGTTTCCGAATCGGCGTTCACACCAACCTTGATGTGACCAAATTCCCTCTTCTGAGCCTTAAGCTGTGTGTCCTGATCGCGATTTGTCGCCTTTAATGATTCCAAGTCACTGCACGTTTGGTCGAACTTTTCGGACAACTGGTTGACTTGCGCTTCCCTTTCGGCAAGCTGCTCGCGTAATGTCGCGTTCTCATCGAGAAGAACTTGTTTGGTGACCTTCTGTCTTCGCGTGTCTTCCTCCTTGACGATGAGTTGTGCTTTGTGGATGTGTTGCTGGTGTTTCATCTCGAGCTCATGAGCCGCAGCGGCCTTCTGTGTGAGAAGTTAGAGACATACCATTATTTGCTGTCCGACTACTAGACTTACCTCTTCCGAGTCCATGTTCCTAGTCTTGCAAGGCATAATGGCGGTGTTGTGCAGTTGCTTCTGCGCTGGAAGCGCGTTGACGCGTTGGATTCGGAGGCCCCTAAAGAGGTGTTGTGTCGCTTGAAGCTACGGCGTTATGGTTCAGAAGTCTTCTTTCACCACAATGCGCGATAGTGGAGATGCCCGCGCGTAAATCGATTGAGGTTCGCGATGTCGATGTTGAGATGGTGGTGTGTTTGGGTTGATTTTGAAATGGAGTACCAATGGGCAAGGTAAACATGGTTCCCAAAGCAGTTAGTTCATCGACGCTCCCCCCCCCCCCCCCCCGGCTCCAGGCAGACTGTCTCCACAGTTTCTGAACTACGTAGTATGTACTCCGTACGCTGATGTCTCGGTCAACGGTTTGACGGTTCAGGGTGACATAACACTGGGATAGTTCAGGGTACCTGCTTCCCCTAGGAAGAACCAAAATCCGAATCCGAGCGAGCTACCCCCGACAGCCCCGATCGTGCTTTCCTTCCACACCCCAATCGAGGTACCTTACCGTACCTTTCGTACTTAAGCCAAAACAGGAACGATACGTACACAACCTTGAGACTTGACCCACTTCTCTGTGGGTTGTCTGCCGCTGTTGAGAGCTGTCCAGTTCGAGCTGTTGAAGTTCAGTGTGTGGCATCTCGACGACACTCGCGGCGCGCACCAGTTCGTTACGCCAGCCCGACTTCAATATCACCAGCAACGGCCAATTGGCCACATCCTCAACCTTTCGATCGCCTCCCAAGCTATTGTTGCGTCTGAATCACCGACGCATCCCTAAAAATGCACTTCCTTCGCTCCCTCCTAGCGGGAACCTTTCTCGCTGCCGGCGCCTTCGCAGCCAAGAAGACCCCCGAAGAACGATTCAACGATTTCCACGCAAAGGCCCTTACCTCGTCTCCGATCAAGCTCGCCGATACCAGCTACAAGTCTTTGACTTCTGCTCCCCGCGATTACACCGTTGCAGTACTCCTGACCGCTCTCGAGAATCGATTTGGTTGCCAATTGTGCCGCGAGTTCCAGCCGGAATGGGATCTTCTGGGCAAGACCTGGACCAAGGGTGACAAGAAGGGCGAGTCGCGCCTTCTCTTCGGTACTCTCGATTTCTCTGATGGCCGCGAGGTCTTCATGTCGGTAGGAAAACCCAGCCCGGAACCAGGTGACAATGGACTCGGCCAAGAACTAATACGATCACTACCAGCTCGGCCTCCAAACCGCCCCCGTCCTGCTCCTGTTCCAGCCCACCATCGGTCCTCACGCTGTTGCTGCTGTCGATCCTCTGCAATACGACTTTACCAGCGGGTAAGCTATCTGTCTCAAGAACGGAGTACCTCGTAGAATAAGCTAACGACTTAAAACAGACCTCAGTCTGCTGAACAGGTTCATGCCTGGCTGTCGAGACACCTTACTGACCGACCCCACCCTCCGGTGAAGCGCCCGATCAACTGGATGCGATGGATTTCTAGCATCACCATTGTCCTTGGTCTTGGCACTGTCCTCGTTACTGCCTCGCCTTACATCCTTCCCGTCATTCAGAACCGCAACTTGTGGGCCGCTATCAGTCTCATTGCCATCCTGCTCTTCACCAGTGGCCACATGTTCAACCATATCCGCAAAGTTCCCTATGTTGCTGGAGATGGCCGGGGTGGTATCAGCTACTTTGCCGGTGGCTTCCAGAACCAGTTCGGTTTGGAGACCCAGATCGTAGCTGCTATCTGTTTGTTTACCCCCCCCCTTCACGTCAAGTCTAAAAGCTAATCAAAAGTAGACGGTGTCTTGGCTTTCTGTGCCATCTCTCTCACCGTTAAGGTGCCTCGTATTGGCGACAACAAGAGACAGCAGGTTGCTGTTCTGGCCTGGGGTGGTGTTCTGTTCATCATGTACAGCTTCCTTCTCAGCGTTTTCCGCATCAAGAACGGTGGCTACCCGTTCTCTCTGCCTCCTTTCATGTAAGGATGCTATTTGACAAGCCGGCACTATCGGAAAGAACGACCTGCGCTAGCAACTTCTCGTCTGGCTTCGAGTTGTTCGCCATCGCTGTTCGCTAGGATAGCCATACCTTGGCAGTGGCCAAGAGCCCCGGTGTCACCATTGACACAAATGTAACATAGCGGAAAGAAGTCACCAGAAACCCATAGAGGGGGTGATTGGACGTGGTAAAATGACGTTCCACGAATTGAACTACAAAAGCATCGTAACGCATTTTTCAACCTCTGTTGGGATTCGTTCACTGTAGTTTCGTTGAGCAAGGCACAAGGGAATGGCTTATGCCCTATCCGCAAGTCCCCCTTTGATCGCAATGTGCTTGTGTCTCGCGCTGCTTTGACATTTATACCAGACCACGAGTCGACTCTATCTTTGCATTAGACCTAGGTGATTGGTCTATATTTATTGAGCTCCTTCTCAGTCGCCTCTAGAAACCATGTTCACACGCCCAATGCCTCTTTTATCCCTCTATCGGGATGCTGCCTCAAGATCAACTAGGTTGTTGTCTCGAACTTCCAATTTTACAGTATATTGCGTGAATAGTATGAAGCTCCGAACTATCAAGCAACCTCAGATTGGGTTAAACGAGGTTCACGGGGCTACGACGCATGGCCTTCACTTATCCAGGTGACTCTTCGGGCAGATTGATAAGCACCGAATTCTTTATTGCTTGTCATGCTGACAGTTGTCTCCTGCCTAACGAGGTTGAGCCCGGGGCCGCATGGCAGCATTTAATATCAATGAATTGTCGCACCATTCTAACTTCGGAGGCGAATAGAGGAGGTTTCATCCGGCGGCATCTCACCAATTTACAGTTGAAGTAGCCAAGCCGTGAAGCCAGGATCGGAGTTTTTAGCCGGCCAAGGAGAAATTAAGCACTCAGCACGAGGATTGTCCCCCCGCTGATCTGGGGTTGTTGCCGGCTAAAGTGATGACTACCACCCTAGCTCGTAACACTTTATTTTGTCCTCGGGAACTCTAGAGGAACGAATCAATTTAGTTAGGATTGGTCATTAGCCACCTCGTCTGCTTGGGGTAATACTGTTTTGACTGGAGGCTCTGGGGTGTCTGAAATAATTAGACTCGCCGTATGGCACTGCAATTCTTGGGGCAACATCGATTTCGAATATGCGTACTAGGTCTGCTTCAATTTTCTTTCACTTTCATGTGTTTTTGCTATATAACACGTACTCAAAAACAAGGTGATGGGGATAGGTTAAAACAACTGGAAAAGGTAAGTGAACTGCAAGGTTTACTAGAGCATTCAAATCTCTGCACCTACTGCTCGCCATTGTAAAACAATTACGCCGGGAGTACTGGATATCTTACGATATCCGGTTAAGACGGCCCGTCCTCGAGGAAATCTGCCAAGTTGGATGGCACCATCACTCGTCCACGTCTGGGGTAATTGTGCAGAATAGGTGATGTGCTCTCGAATGGTCGAAGCGGAGGTTGGTTTGACGAGGTAACATTTTCTATTATTGCAAATACCACAATGTTCTGGGTGCTCTAACCATGATACTAGACTCGTAGGCCAATCATTCTTGATTATTAGATGAAGTTGTTAATCTGGCGGTGATCTTTGCATCGAGAACCCTTGATCGTGAGGTGCTTTGGTGGGCACCGCGTAACATGAGTTTTGTCTGATTGCAGTCGTGACAGAGCCCATCACCTTGCCCATGGGAACCGCTCCCTTGGCTGGACATTTTTGGTTCGGAGGCTTGAGACCGAAATCAATACAGCCACCGGGCCTGGTGCCTGATTGACGTTACTCGGAGGTTCAGGGATGGACAAAATGTAAGACTTCGGAGGTTGACCAATCCTTCAAGGTATTATGAGTGTAGATAAATAGTGTCATGGCTCCCAGTGCAATCATGGCTCTCATCAGAATCTCAGCATCGCTACTACAGAGCTCATCATCTTAAGAGAGTATTATTATCATCAAGATGAAGTTCACCGCCGCTACATTGGCGGCTTTGGCCTCAACAGCCATTGCTGCCCCTTCTCAGACGATCAAGGAGCAACCACGGGCAGCAGCCGCTGCATGCTCTGCCAACGTCTCCCTGGATGCGAAGACCAATGTCTTTTCCAAGTACACCTTACACCCCAACAGCTTCTACCGTGCAGAGATCCAGGCTGCAGCTGCAGCCATCTCGGACAGTACGCTCAAGGCCAAGGCCCTGAAGGTTGCTGACATCGGCTCCTTCCTCTGGCTGTATGTTGGACATCTACGAACCCTTCCTTACGCAATATGATACTGATATTGCAGCAATGCAGTGACACCATTGCCAACATCCAGCGTCTTACGCCCGCCATCGCTGATGTTCCCTGCAACAACATTCTCGGTCTGGTCATCTACGATCTCCCCGGCCGTGACTGCGCTGCCAAGGCCTCCAACGGCGAGCTCAAAGTCGGCGAGCTGAGCCGCTACAAGACGGAGTACATTGATCCCATTGTCAAGATCCTGAAGGCGAACCCCAAGACCGCCTTTGCTCTCGTCATCGAGCCTGACTCTTTGCCCAACTTGGTCACCAACGCCAACCTCGCAACCTGTCAGGCCTCGGCATCGGGCTACCGCGATGGCGTTGCATACGCCATACAGGCTCTCAACCTTCCCAACGTCGTCATGTATCTCGATGCTGGCCACGGAGGTTGGCTTGGGGTAAGTTCATCATCACATCCGTCCAAGCGACATGTTCTCGCACAGTCTTGCTTTCCATATCCTGATCATGTTGTCTGACTGGATTCATAGTGGAACGACAACCTCAAGCCTGGTGCCGAAGAGCTCGCCAAGGCATACAAGGCCGGCGGCAGCCCCTCGCAGCTTCGAGGCATCGCCACCAACGTTGCCGGATGGAACTCTTGGTAAGTCTAGCTCATATGCTCAAACCTTTGAAAAGTAGGAAACAACGCAGCAAGAGCCATTTCACTGACATCGCGTACTTACAGGGACGCCGAACCCGGTGAATTCGCCAACGCCCCAGACGGCCAGTACAACAAGGCCCAGAACGAGAAGAAGTACGTCACCCTTCTCGGCGCCGCCCTTCAGACGGCCGGCATGCCCAACCACGCCATCGTCGACACGGGCCGCAACGGCGTTCAGGGCCTCCGTCTCGAGTGGGGCGACTGGTGCAACGTCAACGGCGCCGGCTTCGGCCTCCGCCCCAGCGGCAGCACCGGCCTCGAGCTCGCCGACGCCTTCGTCTGGGTCAAGCCCGGCGGCGAGTCCGACGGCACCAGCGACTCGAGCGCCACGCGCTACGACTCGTTCTGCGGCAAGTCGGATGCCTACAAGCCATCTCCCGAGGCTGGTACCTGGAACCAGGCCTACTTTGAGATGCTGCTCAAGAACGCCAAGCCTGCCTTCTAAATGGAAAAGAAAGGCTTCCGCTACTCTGGCCATGTTGACCGCAGCGAGAACCCTTCATTGTGCTGAGAAAGGGGGCCTCTGCTGAATTTTGTCTTTCACACATGGCCTAGTTAAATTCTCTTCGTATATATACAATGCCAAGTCTTCATATATCTGTATCATTCGTGTCTTATTCTAAGTGATCCAGTGAGGGGCATGGGTCTTGAAAAAGTTGCGACTAGACAACATACGAGAAAGAGACTCGGTCGTCACATCTCACAGCAAGAAGGCCACCGTGCTCATCATGAAGGTAGTTGCTTACCCTGTGTTCTGCATAACATGGGGGGATAGTCGTTGCTAAAATGCCAAGTCTACAGACGTGACGTTGAAGGACGAGTTTTCACAGTCATCACTCAAGGCAGGATTGATGCGAGTGTGAGCTGACCAAGTCAACATCACGAGTTGAATGAACGAGAAACAGGATTTTTTTGAGTTTGCCAGGATCTTTTGATTTGGGCGTTACGGGTTCATGTCCGAGTCCTTTCGTGGGCTACCTATAAGCCAGCCATGCAGTCTCATCCCCAATTTTTCACAAATCGTTTTGACCCTGCGCATCCCGAAAGACATAACGAGGAAGCCAGCCTAGGACGCCCGCCATGATCTACCAAGAGAGCCCTTTCCCCACCACACTTCGTCACCATCATCGCATAACCCAGAGAGAGAGAACAGAAGAGAGCTTCACGCCCGTTTATGCTCTCGACATGACACCCCAGGCACGGATGATGTTGTCAGTGTAACCGGCGAACAGGGTCTGGCCATCGGCAGACCAGGCCAAGCTCACGCACTCAGGCTCACGGCTCTTCTTGCCGACAGCAGTGAACTCGGGCTTGAGCTCATCAACCTTGCTCTTCTTCTCAAGGTCGAAGATGATGATGCTGCTGGCGGTAGCAGCGCAGAGCCAGTAGCGGTTGGGGGAGAAGACAAGGGCGTGGATCTCGTCGTTGGCGTTGAGGGAGTAGAGGTGCTTGGACTCGTTAAGGTCCCAAAGCATGGTGGTACCGTCCTTGCCACCGGAGGCGCAGAGGGATCCATCGGGGGAGATGGTGACGGTGTTGATGTAGCCGGTGTGGCCGATGTGGTCAGTCTGCAGCTTGCAGGTGCTGAGCTCCCAGACCTAGAAATTTACCCTTGTCAGCCATTCTGATCTATGTGGAATTTTCCACAAGGCAAAAAATAAAAATTGAAGGTGCGAGATCAGGGCAATGGTGAATAGTGGTCTCATGGCCTGCACGGCAGGCTCTGAAGTAGCAAATACTTTGGTTGCAAGCATCACGTCGAATCGAGTTGTTGTGGCGACTTCTCCTGGAAAACATAGAAGGAGGTATTTGAAACTAACCTTGACGAGCTTGTCCCAGCCGGAGGAGACAATGACGGGGTTCTGGGGGTTGGGGCTGAAGCGGACGCAGGAAACCCACTCGGAGTGACCCTTCTCGGAGATGGTGTACTTGCAGTCACCGAGGGTGTTCCAGAGCTTGATAGTGCGGTCGCGGGAGCCAGAAACGATTTGTCTGTTGTCGGCGGAGAAGGAGACAGACAGAACGTCGTTGGTGTGGCCGACAAAGCGGCGGGTGGTGGTGCCGGTGGCAAGCTCCCAAAGGCGGAGAGTCTTGTCCCAAGAGGCAGACAGGGCGTAGGCGCCGTCCGAGGAGATAACCTATTTTCCTTCCCATCAGCCCAGAGTTCCCAGTGATCCTAGCCCCGCCAAAGAGGGCGAAGGAGATTCTTCGTAGAAATCGGAGGGGTTCGAGAGACGTACGCAGTCGGAGACGATGTGGGAGTGGCCCTTGAGGGAGCGCTTGGGGTAACCGTACTGGGACTCGTCACGGGTGAGGTTCCAGATGATCAGAGTCTTGTCACGGGAAGCGGACAGGAGCATGTTGGGGCTGTCGAAATGTTAGCGATTGCTGTCTTTCGAGATTCTTGGCCTCCTCCCCCGCCGCCGCCACTGTGCAAAGGCTCGCATGTCGTTGCCCATTTCGAAGAATCCCATCCTTCTCAAAAATCAACGTCGGCGGCAGCGGTAGCCAGGTAGGGGTGATCGCAAATGAAGAGGATTGTAGGAATGGTCGTACTTCTCCATGGAGGTAGCCAGGCTGGTGACCCAGCCATTCTGCAAAAAGCATCGCCGTCAGCCTCAAGCACAACGCAAAAATGACCGGCGCAACGCTGCGGCGTGCGGGCAAGTGAGACGACAACAACTTACGTGGCCCTCGAGGGTACCCTTGAGAATCAACTGCTCAGCCATTGGGAAATGAGGCAATCAGGTCGATTGAGTGGTGAGGGAAAGGTAGAAAGATTGGAGTTGATTCTGAGCGTCACACCTTTGACCCTTGGGGAGCTTGAGCTGAGATTCCGGATTTTGGGTGTGGGTGAAAAAAATTAGCAAACTTCGCTTAGGGCCAGGCAGGTGGAAAGAGCGCCAGCCTTGCTCCTGCTGCGCTTGGTGTGGGTAATCGAGGTGGGGCTCGAGCCAATGGGGATCGCTCGTAGCTACACTTCTTCTGAAATGCTGACACGAGGCTGATTGGCCCCATAGTCGAACAGAAAGGGACGGTACTTGTACATTAGTACCAACCTCAGAAGAATGATAGCCATGTCCAATGTTTCGGGCCCATCACAGGAAGTTCAATTCTGCATGTCACTCGCTGCAGGGGCTCGCAGAATAGCAGCTGTTCACCTATCTTTGATCGCAATATGACAAGTCCATGACTGGCGAACTTCCCGCAGATGTACGCGTTTCTCATTCAGATGTGGTCTCCACGAACCCAAAGCTCACTCTCACGACTTGAATCAAATAAATGCCAACGCTCCCGACTCTCGTCCATGACCACTGTTGTATCCTCGGTTTCTCCTAGTCACATCATAACCTTTTATGCGGGGAGCTACTGCTAAGCGCTCTGGGATTACTGATAAAACTAAGGATAATCTTGATGATTCGCTAGCTGCCTACGCAAAGTTTCTCACAGCTTTGCTTTTATCCATGCGGTCGCTGTAAAGTGCTCAACCGGATAATCGTATGATCCTCCTCCTGCGTCCCATCTTCATTCTCGGTCAAGAAATGATGTAATCTGCTGGAACTCGTCCACACGATGAAATACCCAAACGCCTTGCTGAATGCATGTCCATTTCCCAAAACAACCAATTCCTGTGTCTGCCTTGACTGGCACCCGACACACTGGCCTATGCAACCCAAGCCCATAAGTTCTGATCATTGCTCATCCTTTTTGATTATGTGGTCGTCCTTGGAAGCACTGGACTCGCGCTTCCGGCCTCTACCGAGAGAGGACGACTAGCTTTGCCCGGCGGCTCGTTTGCTTTGTCGCTGCACTTCCCTGCGCAAATGCCGGGCGTCCGAGTTGACAATCATGCTATGATCGGCAATCTCGAGTTGTTGGCCGGTGGCGCCGCCTTCCTTTTTGACGAAGCCTTCCATAGCGGCAGCCCAAAGCGAATAGCGCTCCTTGGTCATAGGATCGCGCTCCGACAGAGATCTGATTTCCTTCTGCTTTCGGACCTTTGCCGCTCTGACCAGGCCTCGAAGGGCCTCCTCTCCTTGCTTCGAGGCCTTGGCCGCCTCTTCCCTTGTCTTTTGGGGGTCACGACCGTTGTCATCTTCCTTGGGTGTGTATTTGTAGGTATGTTTGCTGGGAAAGTCGGGGAAGGACTTTGGTATGTACGACTTGGCTTCCTTCTCGGGCTTGCCGCTCAGCTCCTCGCCGAGGAGAGGTAAAGTTGTGTACGCATCCGGATCATCGACCAAAGGATTAAAATATTCCACGTCTAGCTTCGCTTTTGGTACGGGATGACGGAGGTGAGGCCTCAGCGCCTTCGTCTTCAGAGTGTAGCGTCGCATCGTGGACTCGAAGTCCGCTGGAGTCGGCTGCTCCCTTCGTGCTGCTAGAGCGACACGTTTGGCATCGGCGATCATGGAGGCCATGTCTGGACGTCGAGTCAGCGCCGAAAAGCATCAGTTTTCACACAACGTCTCGTAATCTCACAGGTCTCTACGGCCCCCAAGAAGCCCTGCATCGCTTCCGGGGTAGCGGAATCAAAGCCAACTTGCTGTAGTGCCAGTCCTATACTTCTTTCGAGGCCACTTTTTGCTTGATAATCCAAAGAAGGAATGGTGACTTTTGTCGCGCCAGGCAGGCTTGGCTCTTCATCGTCGGCGGCAGGGTAACTTTTTGCCGCGTCGCTATTCGTCTTCTGTCTTTTGATGATTGGGTTCTCATCTTCACTAGACGAGCTCCGCTTGATCGGAGTCGTTGCCGCGGAAGGTGAAGACATGGCCGACGTCGAACAGAGCTCGAGGGTGATGGAGGCGTGTCACGGCGAGGTCGCAAATGTACGCGCAGATGTCAAGAACAGAAGAGTCTGGACACTTCTATAGATTAAGGTAGAGAAATGCGCGACGGTAATGTATACGGCGCGCGCTCCAAATGTTGGATCTGGGCCTTGGGCGAGGAAGACGCGATGTTGGTGAGAGGAGGTTGTTCGAGGTCCGAGATTCGAGATTGTTTGCGCCTCGGACGGAAGGTACATGAGCTAGGTAAGCTACCTAAGGTAGGTACGTTGCGCGCGAGAATGGGTACGTACCGACGAATGAGAAAAAAAAAAGGGATTTGGGATGAGGCTCTTTCTCAGTCTTTCTGGGGCTCGGCAGTTGCCCCGCGGCTCACCATCCACTGTAATCGGACTTGCATCCACCCTTCGAGACCCCTTTCAGCGCCTAGGGGCCCTAAGCCAATCATGGATGGGTGATGGATGACCTGGACATCAACATCCAAGGTGGACGTCCAACACTTTTACCAGAAAAAGGAAACGACTCGGGAAGAGATTATTTATCTCGATGACATTTATCTCTTTATCGCATTACTGACCACTCGCAAGCCCAGAGCGGTGTTTTTCCGCGTCAGATCCCGAAGTACGATCTCGTCGCAAGATGTGGCATCATCAAACCACGTACTATCCAAGGGGAGGTCTTTGAGCATTTTTGTCATTCACTTTACCTCAGATACTCTCATTACTATTCTCAAGTCAAAAATGCACTCTTATGCATTTACATTTTCGCAGAGACACAGAGGATACTGTCTAGCGACAAAAAGCTCGCCCTTTGTCTTTCAGCTAGGTAATAGCAGACACACGTGTAAAACAGGAGGACTTCGTATCTTTACTCACCTTACCCTACATAGTCTAATTAATGCAAGGAGACCCATCTCAGCCAGCCTGTGCTCACTATCTTATCTGAGTCAAGCGCCTCGATGCACCCCTTTCACGACCCAACAATACCTTAGACTTCCTCATAATTTCAATGTCCTAGTGTTCAGTAGCCTTCGTAACTTGTGTCGCTCTCTTTTGCCTTTGTCGTTGTCTTTACTTCCTTAACCCTCTCCGAACTGGCTTAGGGGTGGGATTGGGTTTCTATCTGTCACTTCGGTAACACCAAATAAAATCGCTCACCCGTCCAGTGGCTATTGCAATAATGCAGGATCTTGAAACTCTGCGCAATGGAGGCTATCGCGGCCAAGGTCTGCAAAAGCTCAAAATCACCGGCACTTTAGACCATTTCCCCTCGGAAATCCTAGATCTAGCTGAAACCCTCGACCATCTTGACCTCTCCGGGACCGGGATTTCTGTTCTCCCCGATGACTTCAGCAGGCTGCGCAAGCTCAAGGTCGCCTTCTTTTCCGACTGCCGGTTCGCCGTGTTTCCCAAACAGCTATCAGAGTGCCCCGAACTGGATATGGTGGCATTCCGCTCCAACGGCATGACGACTATCCCAGAAGGTTCCTTGCCACCCAAGCTGCGTTGGCTTATCCTCACGAACAATAGCATCGAGGCACTGCCCCGAAGCATCGGCCGCTGTTCTCGGCTCCAAAAGTGCATGCTTGCCGGCAACAATCTCACAAGCCTCCCGGATGACATGGCGGTCTGCAGTAAACTTGGCCTACTCCGCCTCTCCGCCAATAACTTCTCTGACTTGCCAAAATGGCTGTTTGAACTCCCCGAACTCGCCTTTCTGTCTGTTGCCGGCAATCCCTATTGCTCGATCAGTCTCGAGGAGGAGCTTGCTCTGCTGCGCAAAGTGGACTGGGAGGATGTTGAAATGAGGGAGTTGCTGGGCCACGGAGCCTCTGGCGATATCTTCAAAGCGAGGTGGATGCTCGCCGACTCGGTGGTAGAAGAGGTAGCCGTGAAGCTGTTCAAGGGGGAGGTGACGAGCGATGGGACACCGCTAGATGAGATGGGCGCCTGCCTGGCAGCAGGTTCGCACGACAATCTCATCAGCACATTGGCCAGCATCAAGGGCCATCCAGAGAAGCACGGCCTCATCATGCAGCTCATTCCTCCCCATTATCAGAGTCTCGGCCTGCCGCCTTCCTTGGATACTTGCACTCGAGACCGGTATGCACCAGGCAAGAAATTGTCAGTCAAGGTTATTCTTGAGCTTTTGGGTGGCGTTGCCGCAGCTGCTCTTCACCTTCACAGCCGGAAAGTTTCTCACTGCGATCTATATGCGCATAACATTCTCTTCAACGATCACGGACACGCTTTGTTGGGCGACTTTGGCGCAGCGACGATCTACGAGCACCTCGGCAGATTCAACTTTGAGAAGCTGGAGATACTTGCATTCGCTCACCTCATTGATGACATGATTGGTGTTGCTCATGTCGAGGAGAGTGGTGAAAGAAAGCAGATTCTACAACGCTTGCGGGAGTTACACATCCGCTGCTCCAACTCAGTCGTCTCTGAGAGACCTACCTTTGCTGGCGTCGTCGATTCTCTCCAGGCATTGGCATGAACCCCAACAGCCTGAAAAGGCGATCTTAGCCTGTTGTTTCGGCCTCTGGGGTTCCATGCGGCGAGATATGCATGGCGGGTCCAAGAGAGGTTTCTAGGCAAGGACACATCAGCTGTGCAGGTGCGAACTTCACCTGAAGTTCTATTCATTATGAAGACTCCATCTACTCAACTTCAGGTGAAGTTCGCACCTGCACAGCTGATGTGTCAAGATACGACGGGGATGAGGCATGGGGCTATAGAGTTAGACATAACCTAGACTTAGACGCATTTAGATTTCATCCAAAACAATACTTAGAGTAACCATCTTCATTTAGTTGGCTTTTCTTTGAAGAGTCGCCAGGTGGAAAGATAATGCGATTGAGGTTCATTACTTGGATAAGTTTCGGGACTTCTGCAATTGTTAGCAGACTGTTGAGCTTTTCTGTTAAGTTTGCGGTCATGACTGATGTGTAGTACAGAGACCCGGCTGGTGAAAGTAGACACCTGGAGTGCTTGTCTTCAGATAGTTGAGGTGCTGTTCATTAATGGAGTAGGATTTAACACCCGTATGATAGGTTACTTCTAACGATACGAAACTTCTACCCTTCCTAGCCCGACTTTCAAGATGACGACAAGGTATGCCAGCCTCCTAAATCCTACTCCGTCACGCCCGTCTTCCGCTTCAATGTGGGCTGATCAGAGGTGCACCTGTTTTATGGCAACTACAAAAAAGGACTCTCGACGGACGATGAAGACAGATGGCATGTCTTGGGAGTTGAGATAAACCCATACACGGTATCCTCGGATGCTCTTTATCTTTCGTGAACATTAGTTGAGAGTTTGGGTAATAATAGTCAGATCAATGTGTATCAAACATGTGTTTATGAGATCAAATTGATTTATAGAAAGCGAGCACGCATGGCTACCACGACTGTACACTGCTCTAGTAAATTTTGCCTAGTCATACATGCCATCTGTGTACAATATTCGGCGCAGCAGGGAAGACAAGCAGTTCATCAGCGAAGACCGTCGTCAGTAGGTTCCGCAACCGGGGCTGTGGAAGTCGGTAGGGCCTCACCAAAGTCCGGGTCGATTTCGGACTGAGGCGGGTCGTCGGATCCGCAATCCTGGCCAGTTGGCACGTCTTTGTAAAAGACGTCGGAGTAGGCGGCATCCAGGAAGTTCTGGAAATTGTTATCGCTGAAGGGAACTTTGGTGTGCTCGTACTGCATGCCATTGAACTGCTCCTTGACGAGACCGGGGAGGCTCTGCCAGCCCACCAGAGGGGGTCTCAGAGCACCGTCCGGGCCTGAGCTGGAGGGGAAGATGGGTTGGCCAGCATCGTACGCCACGATAGGGTGAGTCCCAAGGCCGTACTCATCATCGGTGAAGAGGGTGTTGGACCTGGTGGTGTCGAAGTTGCCGGGGCTGGTAGAGTAGCTCACGCCACGACGAGAGAAAACTCTGGCATCATCCGGGCATGTGTCAAAAGCAAGCCAGACGACAACAGTCAGCCAGTGATGTCGATGCTGCTCTTCTTTCCCCTGGACCTTGGGCAAATAGTAGCTGTATAAGACCGCCCATCTATCATGGGATTTTCCGACTCGTGAGTATGTTTGACCGGATTGCTTGAAGTCGCGGCAATCACCGCCGGCGTCACCGGTAGGCTTCAAGCCTCTCCTGGTAGGCGATTGAGATCAGCGAATGCAGCTTTTGCTAGCAGTAATTACCTACCCATGATTGCCGTCGACATCGACTGCAGGGTACGGGATACAGCCGTGCCATGAATATAGGAAGGGCGCGAATTTGAGCTCAATGTCGCCGAGCAGGTCCTCGTCGGCACGCGGACGGAGCGCAATGATTTCATTGTGGTTTTTCCATTTGTCGCCGAATGCTATGTCTTTGCCGCGGGGCAGTAGACTTGAGGTGGCTAGGCCTAACAGGGGAAGGAGATGGAGGAGAGAGAGGAGAGGATGAGACAGCATTGTGATGAGACGAGCCGAGTTGATGCTTCATACAGGATTCTTGGTGAGAGAAAACTAGGATAGACGGAAGATTATAAAGAGTAAACAGCTATGGGCTTCAACTGTCAGTGTTGAAAACATTCTTACCTCCCGATCATTCCAGGGACTGACTAAGAGCAAACCGGAGTCGTGATTTTGCCCAGACGAGTTATAGCACCCGGATATTACCACCGGTGCTTTGGGAGCAGAAATTGTATATCAAGGTGAGTATGATCGTCTTGGTGTGAAGGCTAAAATAAGTGCTGTGAGTTGTTGAATCCTTTTTTGAGTGCTAGAGTGTAATTGTGGTTCCACCTTTTCCAAGATTGAAATGAGTTGTCTAGTCATTTGCAGTATCCGGGCTCATGTTCGCCCAATTGATCAGGTAATGATTATATCTCACTGCCGCTGCCCGTCAATAGATCACTGACAGCCAAGCGCGCCGTGCCAACTTCGTCTTCAGCGCTCCGCCCATTATTCACGCAACTGCCGGCCTTCTATGTGACTGAGTGTATCTCTGCATCGCGCTCTAAATCATCTTAAAAAGCATGCTGTACTTGGACTAAATCGTTCTGACAGCTGTATTCAGCCTTTTTCAAATAAGCGCGCATGGGTGGCCGGGAAAGCTAGCATAGGTAAGGGTTTCCGAATTGAATGCCGGGAGCACCGGCGACTCCGGTGGACACGGAGCCGGCAGTGCGGGTCACCGACCAAGGGACACCTGATCCATGACCGGGCCCTTATATTCACTCAACTTACTTAGATATCCTACTCAGCGTGCAAAACTTAATCCAAGATTGTTCATTGAGCCAAGTGCGCTTCCCAATTTCGGGCCATCCGAGAGGAGTTCAACTATGCGAGGAGGAAGAAAATGGACTCGTATAATCGAATTATAAAACTTAAACGCTTTGCCGGCCATTAAGGTGTGTTTCCAAGCCGAATGATTTCTCTCTCCAAAGAGCATCACATTGCAATCATGAAATTCTTCGCCCTCTTTACCTACTGCACCGCGGCGATCGCCAGCGTTGTGCCTCTGGCCACGGACCTGACCAATGTCGATGTACAAGTTCGCAACGCTGGCGAAGTATTCGAAACGGCTGATTCGGTGTCTTTGGCGAAGCTCCTCTCGCGCGACTCGGCGAGTGCCTACGAAGAGGCTAGGCGGGCCGCTGGACGTAGCCTCTCCGCCGGCACCTACTACTACTTCATGAACTGCAACGAGATGGTCGAAGGCGACTACAACCGTGCTACAACAAACAAGGGGCGCTGGATGATGGACACCTATTCTTGCTCTCATGTTGGTCTCGTCGTGGGCAAGACTTCGTGGCTGGGGCGCAAATTCAAGGCGCATTATATACACATCAGGACGTTCTCTGATGGCCTTGGCCAAACCCACCACGATTACAACCCTTATGAGCACCAGAGGTATGCATGCTCTTCGAAGGGAGCGATGTCTCATCAACGCTGACGATTCACAGACTCATTTGGGGTGGTAAAACCACGGAATCCAAGGCCAATCTTAACAGGTTGGTCGATGCTGGTGAGTTTGATTACCTGTGTAGGCTCACTGAAGATTACTGACATCCATCCCAGGTAGAAGCTGGCTCAATGGAGCGATGGTGATCACCGAGGAACACAACTGTATGGCGCATTACGAGTATCTCGCCAGTCTACTCTAAGGAGTTGTCACTTCTCCTGTCTCGTGCTATGGGGCAGAGGAGGACTGACTGGCGGTCGTGCTGGAAAAGGAGTGCGGCGTCGAACCGTGACCGACACGATTAATTAGCGTATTCAACCACCAATCCCCGTTTTCTTGTCTTTCCGTGATACAATTTGTACCTCCGTCACGACTATTGATTATTGGAGTTATCCGCCCGGCCTACAGCGTGCTCAATTTCCCTCAACGTGGCCCGCACGCCGTCCGTTCCTCTAAGCATGGCCTGGGAAAAGTTGAACCTCTCATCTTCCCCACCGGCAGGAACCCCAGCTTGCCCCGCGAAGAGCCGTTATATAGCTGGAATTTGCCATAGTATCTCTATATAGCACTCAGTCTAGCCCGAGATCGCGAGCTGAGATCCCCGAATGAAGAATTTTATACCAGGTGGAAGTCGTTCGAAAATGAGAAGACACAAAATAGCTTACTGCTGGGCTGGCGTATCACATTCGCGGCCCCACTGTTCATAGGTCGCTACCTACCTACCTAGGTAGCTCCCCGCTGGACCCACTTCCATATCGGACGAGAGCCGATTCGAGCAGGCGCCCAACCCAATGCCCTGCGCTTCAACCCTCAGTTGCACGATTACGGTCTCGCCCAATTCAAAGACTCACTTCACCGGCTCACACTTCATCAACCTTCGAGTGCGATGGTCGGTACGTAATAGTACGCTACCGAGGACACAGCATATTTTCACGACGACTGATCAGAAAGCCCTCGGCCTCTGTCCCGCTTGCTTTCCTTACGGTATCCTCTCTTCACTCACCGTACGGTCACTTTCGGCCCCAATTCTACATACGACCAAGACAGCGAACTGATGAAGCCTGCAGCATTTTGTGTACTGGAAACAGCGGCATCTTGGCAGTACCGAGGTGATTGGTTTTCCGACATTGGATAAGCTTATGGGATAATTTACTGCACTTCAACCAACTCGATAAACCCAATTCGAGAGAAGGAAAGGCAGGGAGGTCCCGTCGCCCTGAACACCATCTGATATTCACCACCCGGTCACCATCACAAGTCTGGCCTGGTCCAACTCCCGCCAAGATGTTTCCTTTCGATGTGACCGCCATGCCCACGCTACCGACGCGCAAGGGTCTGTTGGTGATTGACTTCAACAACGATTTCATGTCTGCCGACGGCGCCCTACCAGTCACAAACGGCAACGAACTAGTCACACGTACCCTAGAGCTGGTAAAGGCCTTCCGCAAAGTCGGCGATATTATCTGGGTGCGCAGCGAATTCGACAAGTATCGCCTTGCCGCGGGGGAACAGATCTGGGCTACCGACACAATCCCCAAGCCCAAGATTCTCGAGTCCCGTGCTAGAAGAAGGATTGGAGGCGCATCTAAGCAAGCGCCCGAAGAAACTTTCGATGCCGACCCGGAGGCTTTCCTCAGCCAGCCTGGACCCAAAGTCGTTCGTTCTGGCACCCCTGGTGCCGATTATCCCGCCGCCGTCAAGGAAGCAATCGGCAAGAGGGATATCAACTTGTCCAAGTCACATTACTCGGTCTTTTCCTCCGGCCAGTTGATCCAGATGATGCGCGTCAAGTTCGTCCACGAGCTTTATATTTGCGGATCGCTCACCAATATCGGCGTCCACGCCTCAGCTATGGATGCCGCCACGTTCGGCTATTCCATCACCTTAGTCGAAGACTGTTGTGGTTTCCGCTCCGATGTACGTCACAACGCTTCATTAACCAAGCTTGTCGAGGTGACGGGCTGCGAGGTGATGGAGAGTGAGGCTGTCATTAAGAAACTGCAGCCCAAATCCGAGTCAAAGCCGGCGGCCCCGTCATCACCCGTCGTGCCCAAGAGGATCGCGGAAGCCAGTGGTGTTAAAACGCCGCCCTCGGCTGATTCGTACAAGACGAAACTCGAAGAGCAGTTGGCCAATCTTTCAATCAAAACTTTAAAGTCCTCAGCAAGCAAGCCTCCCATCTTACGCCCACGCCGAGACTTGTCAGGCCTGGGCTGTGCAACCGCTTCCGATGTTTTGGAGGTGGATGTGGACGCGGGTCCAGTCAGTGACTCAGACGACAAAGAGGTTCACAAACGATCAAAGAGTCCAATGGTAGGCAAGGGCAGTCTGGAAATAGAAGTAGACACAGACTCGGTACCGGAGAAAACACCTATAAAGAAGCAACAACTTCCTAAGAAAATCGCCGGCGAGAAAGCATCTTCCACGTCCGACATTGAACTCGAGCCAGACTCAGGCCCGGATTTAGAGCCAGAACCAGCCAAAAAGCGTGTTGTCATGAACGATAAAATTGAGGTCGATGACTCGCCGCACGCTACCGAACCTCTATGCGAGGGTGACACCACCGTCATTCACAATATACTCCCTTCGACCATGGCCGAGTGCATCTTCGAGAAGGTGAGAGACGAGGTCTCATGGCAGAGAATGTCCCACCAGGGCGGTGAGGTCCCTCGGTTGGTCGCCGTGCAAGGCGAAGTAGCCGACGATGGAAGCATGCCAGTATATCGGCATCCCTCAGACGAATCACCTCCCCTCTTCCCCTTCACCCCTACAGTACAGAAGATCAAGGCAGAGGTCGAGAAGGAGCTCGGGCATCCGCTGAACCACGTGTTGATCCAGTTCTACCGCAGCGGCACCGACTACATTTCCGAGCACAGCGACAAGACCCTGGATATCGTCAAGGGATCGTACATTGCCAACGTCAGCTTGGGTGCGGAGCGCACGATGGTGTTCAGGACCAAGAGGCGGGACAAGGACCCGTCCGGCACCGCAACGCCGTCGGGCGAGGTCTCTCTGCAGCGGCGGGTTTGCCGTGCCAAGCTGCCGCATAACTCTCTCTGCCGCCTAGGCCTGGCGACGAATGGTCGATGGCTGCACGCCATCCGCCAGGACAAGAGGATGGATCGAGACAAGACGCCTCCCGAGTTGGCTTTTGGCGGCGGACGCATCTCGCTCACCTTTAGACAAATTGGCACCTTTTTGAACCGGGATAGCACCCTGATTTGGGGTCAGGGGGCCACCAGCAAGAACAGAGAGGCGGCTCAAGCGGTCATCAACGGTCAGTGCCCACAGGCCGTCGACATGGTCCACGCCTTTGGCACCGAAAACCACTCATCTGACTTCGACTGGGACAAGTTTTATGGCAAGGGTTTCGATGTTCTGCACATGAGCACTTCGCCGCGCCTCTGCGCCTCGGCTGATCCTATCACCAACATGCGCATCGCCCTAATGTTAGCCGAGTACGGCATCTCGTACGGCAAGGGGAGCATTTCGCCGTCCTTCAACTGGAAGGACAGCAATACCGGCGGCAAGGATCCAACCGCTATTTCTGCATCGCTGCCGATTCGATTCGTCGACAATGACGTAGCAAAATCCACGGTTCAGGGCGAGTTGGCCATTATGCTCTATCTGGATTCCGTATACGGCTCCGAAAAGAAGGAAGCGGCAGATAAGTCGCAAATAGATGTTGCGAAAACATTCACACGTTTCCAGGATGGCCTTGCGCTCCTCGACAAGTGGCGAGGGCTCGAGAAGGACAGCAAGTCAGGAAAGCGTGACCTCGCACCCTTGAAGAGAGAACTCGCCACCTGGGAGGGATATGCAGGTGAGGCCGACTTCATTGCGGGCTCTAGTATGTCGTTGGCCGACTTTGCAGTATGGCCGGTGTTACACGAAATCTCCAAGGACGCCAACACCGAAAGTCTGGAAGCGACCAAGAAGCTGAAGGCGTACTACGAGAGAATCAAGTCCACCGAGTCTGCCGCCAAGGTCCTTGATGCAACCCAACCTGATACCACTGGGGCTGTATCGGCGGACCCAAAGACTAAAAGTGTGATCCAGGCATTAAAGCCGAGTGAGAGTCCCTCAGGCGAGAAGTTGCAGAAAGACTGAGCTACAAAGGGCGGTTTCAGGATGCAGGGCGAGCTTCGAGGACGAAGTGTTTAGATAGCGGACATCGCATACTTGATAGCTTTGAATAGTTCCAATTACACTTTGTAGCCATGCACTGTCCTTCCTTTCTCACAGCTCTGGTCTTTATAGTTTACCTTTTCCGTGAACGGCTTGGTTATGTGAGAGACATAAGTTTACGAAATGTCACAACCATCATTGAATAAAGCACGAATTTAAGAACGGATTTTCCTGCAGCTGCAATTTCTATTCCACCATCTCGTTGAGGATGGTCAAGTTTTGTCAACGCTAATTGGTCTGTGCAAGCCCCCCTAAACGATGCATATGCAGTTTGGGGGAAGTGGGTACCCTCACGGGTATAGACCCGTATTTGATATGAAAATCAGTAAGGCTGGATGGAACGATGAGACCGAAATCGTTCTCGCAAAGCCTGTCCTCATCAAGAATGCCCCCATAGAACGCCATAAATGAAGAAGAGATCCCGTGCCCAGTGCCCATTTCACGACGAGTTCCCATGAACTATAAGCTCGTCGGAGCTGGTCTCATCGCATCGCTTAAGAAGAGTGGGCGTCCCACGGCAAAGGGTAAGTGCCCACCCAGTCGGCCACCTCGGACCTCAACTGAACAATCTCGGGATCGTTCTCACCATCACCAAGATGCTGCATGTAGTGTCTCAACAGACCAGGCTTCTTCTCTCCCTTCTCCTCGGCCGCCTTCTTGGCGCTCTTGTTGACGCGAATAGCGATGGTGACGGCGCGGTCAATAATGTCGGCCACGCGGCTGAAGTCCTCCTCAGTGAAAGCTCTCGTCGTCATGGCTGGCGTACCGATGCGCAATCCACCAGGCACAAGTGCCGACTTGTCACCTGGCACGGTGTTCTTGTTGGCAGCAACACCAACGAGCTCCAGCACACGCTCAACGCGGCTGCCATCGATGCCCTGGGGCTTGAGATCCACAAGAATAAGGTGGTTGTCGGTGCCGCCAGAGACAATGCTGTAGCCCAAGCCTCCCTTCTCCTTGGGAGCACCCAGTCTCTGGGATAGCGCCTTCGCGTTGGCCAGAACTTGAGACTGGTAGGCCCGGAACTCAGGGGCTTGAGCCTGCTTCAAGGCAACGGCCAAGGCGGTGATAGTGTGGTTGTGAGGGCCACCCTGGTGGCCGGGGAAGACGGAGGCGTTGATGGGGCCCTCGAGGTTGTACATTTCGTCCTCCTTCTTGGCATTCTGGCGACGCACTCCCTTGCGGAAGAAAATCATGGCGCCACGAGGTCCTCTCAGACTCTTGTGACTTGTAGTGGTGACGATATCGGCATAGTCGAACGGGCTGGGCATGACCTTGGCTGCCACCAGGCCAGAGATGTGGGCCATATCGGCCACGAGGTAGGCGTTGGTCTTGTCACAGATCTCGCGGAAGCGCTGGTAGTCGATCAAACGGCTGTACGCGCTGGCTCCTGCGACAATGATCTTGGGTCGGTAGAGCATAGCAAGCTCCTCCAACTTGGCGTAGTCGATTTGTCCAGTAGCCTCGTCCAGCCTGTAGGGGACTGTTTCGAAGTACTTCGAAATGGCGGAGATCTTCTTAGTCGGTGTCTGGTAGCCGTGCGACAAGTGACCGCCGTGAGGCAGGTCCAGACCCATGAGGCGATCGTGGGTGTCCATCAACGCCGAATAGACGTACAAGTTGGCCGGGGCACCGGACAGAGCTAGAAGAAGGTGTAAGTAAATGCGTAGGAAGCGGGTTCCTGTGTTGTAAGCTGAGCGTACCTTGAACATTGACACCCCATTGCTTTGAGTCGAGACCGAATGTATCAAGAGCACGCTGCTGGCAGAGACGCTCTGACTGGTCGATGAATTCGTTGCCGCCATAGTATCTTGCGCCAGGATAACCCTCGGAGTACTTGTCTTGGAAATAGTCTTAGCTTCCGTCACATCTGGAGCCAGCAATGGACATACTCTGCATCACACTGCCCAAGGCATCGAGGACGGCCTGGGAGGTGAAGTTCTCCGAGGGAATGAGGTTGATGAAGTGCTTCTGTCTGGTTTTCTCCTGCGTATTTCCAACCGTGTCAGCGGATATGTCGTATGGGAGCATCCTCGGCGCACAGGTTTGTGTGCTGGGAAGCAATCGGTGGGCTTGGGCGGGCTCGTACCTTTTCGATAATGTCGTAGACGGCGGGGTCAGCCTGCTGAAGCTTGGCTGCCAGCAGCTGTTGGTTGTAGAGTCAGTTGAGTAACGTTCCCGTTTGTATGCAACCGCGATAGGGGCAGCTATGCGCACCTGTTGCTGGCCCTCCAAGCTCTTGGTCGAGATGAATCGCCTCACGCCACCTGCGCAGGGAACTGACGCCGCCTTCGGCAGGAAGCGGGAAGCACGAGCTGTGCCTCGGAATGCTGGAAGTGACATGACGCCGGTATGACGAAGGAACTGTGGAATAAGAAATCAATTGCCTGTTCCAAGAGTTGTTGTGAAGCTTGAAAAAGGTTGGAGGATGCGAAGGAGAATAAGTTGGAGGGTGAGACGAAGTTGGTGGCGGTTAAGGAAGGAAGACGGTCGACATACTAGTGAATAAGGTAGGGACGGAGCTTACAACTACAAACCAATTGACCCAGCTACAACAATACCATGATGTAGCGGCGGCGGGCGTGCACAGGCATGAGGAGACCGCGGTACATAAGGACCTGGGGATTGGGGGGTTTCGGGGGACAACTGCCGCTGCTTCAGGCGGAATGTGACCCGAGAACCATGAAGCAAAGCAAAGCGCCCGGTGTGGTGGCCGAGCTGCTCAGTGCTTGTGTTGGTGGTTGGCGGTTGGAGCCGGGGTTCGGCTCAACTTCCGACCTCGCACTTGTCCGTCGTGCACTGCATTCCAACTTCCATCCTGCTAGCCATCCTGCGCTCCGCGCTGCGCGCTTATCAGCACTTATCGCATCGGCCCATCGTTGTGGGACAAGAAACACACCCGAGGCACTGATATCGTTCCAAGCCTTCAAGGACCTTTGGCATCCGTCCTCCGTGGAAAGTTGAGAACGTTGAGCTGAACACGCACGGACCCCTCGGTAGCGACCCGCCGCGCTTGCCCCAGCCCCACAATCTCTACCCTTTTTCAAGGCCGCGTTGTGATTTCGAGCTTTTCCTTTCTCTTCTTCTCTTCTTTACAACTAAATTGGAGATGACGAGCACGCTTATTGTCACATCAGCTCTTCCGCTTCGGCGGGTGCATGATGAAATGTTCTGGCGTCCTCACCACCTTTTTTCAGGACAATATGAAACAATCTGATCCAATCCATGTTGTGCTTCTTTACTCATCTGTTTACCTTGTCTTTGAAAAATTTCAACCTTTTCCATCCTAACTCTTTGTCGGACGCGACGGACACGGTTTTAGAACCACATTCCATCTTTGCCGCCATCAGATAGAATCAATATTAGAAAGAAAAAAAAACGTAACTCGGAATGCCATCGGGGATGGGGATCCTGGCGAGTGCCACGGACATTCTTCCAGACCGATGAAGCATCTGGTTTAGACTGCCTACTGTGGAGATGTCAACTGGTTGTCCGCAGCACATTTTGAAGCAATGGTAAGGACAGCCCAGTAGTCCTTTGTATGCTTTGCCGTGGCCTTGTACTCTTCTGGTTGTGGTAGCCCAAGCCACAATGGGCTGACGCCGTCTGGAGTAGTACGGATGGATATCTTTAACAGCTGCGGGGACTCACTTGTAGTCGAATCAATGAGGATGGCTTAGATGCTGAAGTTCCATACGTCTCATTTTGTTTGGAAACATCTGTGTGGCCAATTTCCGATGTCCGTCGAACCAAACATTGTTTAGCCCGACAATCCCATTGGGTTGGCGGCCCACGCTTGATGAGTGCGGACAAGCACGCGGTGTATGACGCTTAGACTTCACCGAAGAGAAAGACGAAAACTGGCCCAGCTGGTGAACGATCTTGAGAAGGGTTGAAAAAGGGTATCTATCGTCAGACATGACCAGGAAAATGTCACGAGGACTCTCATGAATGTAGAACCGTAAAAGAATTGCTGCTACTCATTTTCGTTCCCGTAATTTGCCATGTCATCGATTTCCATTTTTCAATGCTACATGCCAAAGCCCTGCTGCGACAATAGGGACAGTAGGACGTAAAAAAAGAAGACCCAACCCGATGACTCCGAATGCAGCCGCCTAAGGACCGAGATCGATCGTGATCATCTATTTGGCCTCCTCCTCGCCCTCGCCCAACAGAGCGTTTCTCTTCGCCGTCTGTCTCTCCTGCTTGCGCTCGCGGGCAGCCTTGGTCTTCGCACGCTTGGCGTCCATCTCGTCCTTGAGAGCCTTCTCGCGGGCCTTCTCGGCCTTGGCACGGTGAATCTGTGAGGTATCCGGCGTCAGCCCACCACTCATCTCCAATATTGCGATCCAAAGATATAGTTGGGGCGAGACTTACGTGCTCAACGAGAGCACGCTTGTGCTTGAAGGCGTTACCCTTGCTGGAGTGGTAAAGCTCGTGGTAAAGGTGCTTGTCGATCTTGCCGGAGGCACGGTACTTCACCAGAAGACGGCGAAGGACACGGAGGCGGCGCATCCAGAGGACCTGGCTGTGATGGGGTCAGTATGAATTTCCGCCAGATGTATCAAATCGGTCCGCGAGCCGGAAGACTTGTGGATATCGTTGTCGAACGTTCAAGGGGGCTGCCCAAGTGATATCCCAAGAGTAACCTCCAATAGCGGACCGATCGATGGGAATGGTGTCGACGAACCTGGGCATACGGGCCTCAGCGGTACCCTTGCGCTTACCGAAGCCACGGTGGCGACCGATGCGGCGAGCCAAGTTCAGCTCACGGGCACGGGACCGCGAGTGCATGGTCACGGGCTTGCGGATGATGAGGCCATCGGCGACGAGCTTGCGGATGGTCTGGCGAGAGTTGGCGTTGGAGATCTCGTTGACCTCGTTGGGGTCGAGCCAGATCTTGCGCTCACCGCAGCCGATGACCGACGCGGCAAGGCGCTTCTGAGTTCGCAGATTGACCCTGTGAAGACATTGGACATCAGCAATTTGTCCTTGGTGATGGGAGAAAAAAACATCGTCGTCCCGCCGTCGAATTGATGGATGCCGTCGTCGGTTTTTGTCGCCCCCGCGTGTCCCGGGCTTCGATAGACCCTGAATAAGGCTTGCCCGGTGCAGTAGGCGACGCAAATCGATTTGGGCTCGGCGGAAGAATGGTGTAGTGCTCGTATCGTGATAACTTACATCTTGAATGCTGTCCTAGTCGATGGTCGTACCTACCGGGGGAGTCGAGGGTGTTGAAATTTCGAGAGGGGTGACAGGAGGCCAATTTTTCTGAAAGGCGAAGTGTGAGAGCAGAGTCGGGGCTGACTCTGTGTGGGCAATGTGGGGCGATGGGTAAGCGAGCCCGGAAAAATCGAGGCCACACTTTCGCTCTTAGGTCACGTGTCGTCAACGACATAGGCCCTTTGGTGTGTCTTAAGGGGCCGGTGCACGCAAATGAGAGATACATCAGGTACTTGCACTCCATGTTCAGCGCACCTCTGAAAGATTAACGTTGCCCGGCAAGGATCCCAGCATATGTACCTCAGGTACCTTGAAATCTAATGTCGTCTTCCTATCCTCGCGTGAACGCTGGTTGAGGTGGTTTGGAGAATTAAACAATGAAATGGTTCTCGCCGAATTCATTGAAAATACTAATACCTTGACCCCGGCAGTCATTCAGCGGTAGCTACTGCACGAGGCACGGAATCATGTTTAGTCTCGCTCGTCACTTTTGATTTTCTGGAGATATCTCAACTTTGATGGAGCGTCATCCCCATCAGATAGTGCAACCATGGCATACCTTCGTCTTCCAGGGCCGCAACAACCGCCTTACTCATTTTAACCTCAAGCTAGAGAGCGAATCATCTTTTTACTCAACAAAGCCGCTTAGTGATCACGTAAAACAAAACTTTTAAATTTCAATGTTTGCCCCTTCCTTTTACTACAACCTTCATGCCCTATCTACTTGCCAAACACATCCTCACCAACGTCGACCTTACCCACGCTCCAGATCTCCTTCTCGTCCTCGACCTCGTCGCTAGACAGACCCAGGCCCCCTTGGCCACCCTCAGCCTCTCTCCGCTCACGTGCTTGGGTACCCAGCCGCATTGTGACGCGCTTGAAGTAATCCTGCATGCTCCTCTTGGTGTTCGGCGGCAGATTGGCACTTTCGACGTACTTGTCAAAGACCCGTGTCTCATCGTCCACCACATTGAACAAAGCCATAAATGCAGCTTCGGCGGCTAGCTTGACTGGAATAACAGGGTCCCTGACACTGGCAAAGATGGGACCTGCAAGCGCAGCAACATGCGGCCTGACCATGTCCATGTCCACGCGGCTCATTGTGCGGACAATAACCAGAGCAAGTCGGCGCGAGTCGACAGGGCCTCCCGGTTGAATCGTGTTGGCAAGTGCCTCAAAAATCTTCTTGTTCGAGTCGAAAGACTTTGTCGAATCTGAGAGGAGATATTTGCCCGTGGCAAGGATGACATTGTCGGCAATGTAAGGCTGTGATACGAGTTAGTTTTGCGTTACTTGGTGGCCATCACAACGAATTACTTACGTTCTTGTGGGACATGCCCTGGCCAAGGAGGTCGGGCAAGTCGTCCGCGAGAGGACTTTCAAGGAGACTCTTCGGAGACTCCACAAGCACTGCGTTCAGCGCCAGTGCTGAAGAGTGACTCCAGTGGCTAGTCACAACTCTGTTCTTAAGCAACCCATTGGCAGCCTCCTCGGGAACATTCTTAATCAGTGCTCCAAGCAGCTTGGCGTTTGTGATTGTCATAGCATCGTCCCTCTCGTCGGTATCCATGTCAATGAGACCCAAAACGGCGGTTCTCGATGTTTCGCCCATGTTGGCGCCAGCTTTGCTAATGACTTCGTAAAGTGCGCTGAGCATAGCCGTTTTGACACCGGGGTCTGATGTCTTGGAGCCAGTGACGAGCTCGGCAATGAGCGGATCGATACGTGGCGTGTACTTGATAAGAGTACCCAACGCCTTGGCCGCGCGGGCTCTGAGGACCTCGCTCGATGTGTCTGCAAGAGACTTAGCAAAGGTGCGCTGAAGCTGAGGCAAGAATGGCTTCAGTGCCGCAGGCATCTTTTCCAAGAGGTTGTTGAGAGTCAACAGAATGGCAGACTTGACGTCTGTAGACCTTTCGGAAACAACACGAATGAGTGGACCTGTTATTTGTGTAACAAACGGCTTCAACGAAGCCTCGCTTGTCCGGTCGACGATATCGGAGATAGCCAGAGCTGCCTGTGTTCTCTGCTCCGGCGTGCCATTCATAAGACCCTGCAGGAAGATGGGCAGGATGGCGTTGATACCCTTGGGGAGCTCGAACCCGGGCAAGTTCGCGCCAGCCACGCCAACCTGCTGGAGAGTTTGTCTGGTGGAAATAACCAGGCCCTCCATCTCTTCCTTCTTGAGCTTTTTGGTGAACTCGCTAAGTGCAGCCCAGGCACCCTTGACAACGCTTGCGTCTCTGTCATCGAAGGAGATGAGAAGCGACCGCACAATATCTTGATTGTAGCGCGAATAATCCACTTCGCCAGCGGCAAAGAACTTGCCCAGGTGGCGGGTCGTCGCTGCACGTTTCCGGTGATCGTCGTGCTTCGTAAGCTGAAGTAGTACGTTCATCACTGTATTGAGTCCGTCATACTCGTCGATGGACAGGATCACAGTATCGAAAGATGTCTCGAGATCCTCTCGCAAAGCCTCATCCTCGCAGGTAATGATGTTCTCCATCAATGAGTTGATGATGTTGGGCAGGCGGCGGTTCATAGCAGCACCGGCCACCCTCGACAAGGAAGCGAGAGCCTTGGCGTTGAACGCAGAGATGGGAGGGGTAATAAGCGTGGGGATAAGATTGGGAAGAATGATGTTTGAGCGAGTCGTCTCAGTAAGGAGGGTAAGCAGGGCTGACAAGGCGTTGTCGGCGTTCTCATCGGAGCGAAGGAGGTTGAGCAGGTATGGAAGCACCTGGTCCACAGCTCTCTTGCCCAGGATCTGCTGGAGAGAATCGAAGGCTTCTGCGGCAGCCTCTCTAACATCAGCATCTGAGTCAGTGAGGGCTGTTCTGACGACAGAAATGAGCGTCTTCTCGTGGTCCTCCAAGGCATCCTCTGAGGCCGAGGCAATGAGTTCCTTGAGGGCAAGGCAGATACCCTGCTTCGCGTCTGTGTCTGTGGAGGTTTGCAATCCCTCCTCGAGAGTAGGCAGCAGGGTGGAGAGGACACCATCACCGGCTTTGCGGATCAATTCGCCAAGGGCATTGCTAGCAATGACCTTGTGCTCCATGTTGGAGCTTCCCAAACGCTTGATGATGAGTTGAGTAAGCGTCGGCACCAACTCCTTAAGAATGCGAGGGCTGGAAACCAAGGCCTTCCACACAGCAACGGCAGCGGAGCGGACGGCGTTGGCGGTATCGCAGCGGCAAACATAGAGAGCAGAGAGAATCTTGTTTCTCTTTTCCTCGCCGAGGACCTCGCGAAGTGATGCTCCTGCCTCTCTGGCGCTCTCCTCGTCCTCCTCTTCATCCTCGGCCTTGCCACTGATACCTGTGAGGTTGAAGAGAAGGTCACCAACAAGCTCGACTGAGCTAAGACGAATGCGGTAGCTGTCATCGGCCAAGCCGCGTTCAAGCTCTGGAAGTAGCAGATCAACAGCGCGAACAGCGAAGTTCTTGACAAGGAGACGACCTGCACGAAGAGCAGTCTCGCGGATAGACTCCACATCATCAGCAAGACCAGACAAAATGGGCGGGATGATTCTGCCCAAGTAGTTTGCAAAGCTGTTGCCAAAGCAAACAGGGAGAAAGATGAAGAGGGACATGAAGCCTTCGCGAACAGCCGGCTTGGTCGACTCGACGTTTTGCAGAATGGTCGGGAGAGTCTCTTCGAGTCTGGTGGTACCCAAACCTGCGAGGACCTCGCTGAGAGCTTGGGCGGAACCGAGACGGTCGCCAGCGCCGTTGTCTGCCTTGAGGGTTTGCATAAGGCCAGGGATGAGATCCGGCAGGGCATCTTCTCCCAGCTTCTCCACAAGCGATCCCAAAGCTCTTGATGCGGTGGCACGAGTTGTGGGGACTGGATCGACGATGGCAAGCTTGAGTCCGGCAACAAGGATTGGCAAATGCGAGACCAAGTCTTTTCTCTCAGTGAGATGCGCAAGACTGCCAATGACTTGTGCTGCTTTGCGCTTGGTATTTGAACGGTCGCCCAAACCACGTTGCAAGATTCTTGTGACCAGCGCCAGTGACGGAGCATCCAAGTAGTGCACGAATTGGACCTTGATCAGAGAATCCAAGGCATCATCCGTGTATCTAGTGGGGTCGCTGAGCGCCTTGAGAAGGATGTCGACAAGACCCTTGATCTCAGGGTTACTGATTACCTCGCCGAATCTCTTCAAGCTCTTGTTAGCACCCGAGCGGACCTCCTTGTGACTGTCGTTGAGAACACCAGTGAGAGGGGGGATAATATCGGGCAAACTCTGCGCCAGTTGGTTGGGGTCAAGATAAGCCATGGCTCCCAGCAGGTCACAGGCTCCCTTTTTACTACGCCATTGGTCATCGTCCAAACCGTTGAGTAGGGTAGGAAGGATCTTCTTGACACCATATGAGCTCAGCTTGCCGAAACAGGCCTTTGCTGCTGCCAGACAGGAGTCTCGGACGTTGGCGTTGGCGTCACCAAAGCCAGTAAGAAGCTGAGGAACGATTTGAATGACGTAGGGTTCGAAGAGACGACCAAGGATGGTGGAAAGAAGCTCGTAAGCCAGGAGGGCGGCTTCTCTCTGGTTCGGCTCCTTTTTGTTTTCCATGGCACCCCTCAGTGTCATCATAATACGCTGGTCTTTGAGTGACGAAATGCCACGACCCTGAACGAGACCGGCAAGACCATAAGCAGCACCACGCTGCTCGGCATACTTCTTTGAAGTCAATAGGGTCTCAAGGACCTGAGCGAAGTACTTGGATGACTTGTCTCCGTAAGCCCGGACTAAAGGTGGCAGGCAATCAGCAATAGCATACTGCACGGTCTCGGAAGGCGTGCTCAAGGTCGCCAGCAGTCTGTCGATGACCACAGGAAGTTTTGAATCACCTGGGTTCAAGTGACGCGCAAGCGCACCATACATGATGATGACAGCCTCGTTGACACGGTCTGACGCTTCGGTGTTCTTATCCGGACCTTCGAGCGTACGCTCGAATACCTTCATCAACTTGTCAACCATTCCCTTGCCATGCAGATCAATGGCGTGGATGGCTGCATCTAGCATCTCGCCACGGACGTTCGCGTTCTGGTCACCCAAAGGCCCGTTCTCAATCAAGAATTCAAAGAAAGGATCAAGCTGCTGCTTAGCCATGTGAGGGGCCAGCTCCTTGAAAGCAGATCCAATGCCGTGGCGCGATTCCCAAGGATCTGCCAGGTTGGTTTTCTTAGGCATGCCATATTCATCCAACTGAGGGACACGCGGTTTGGCGAGGTCGGTGTATGAGGCTTTCAAAGACTCCAAGATAGGCTCCAGCGTCGAGTTGTGTGCCTTGCAGGCTTCAGCCAAGGCCCGGGCTGCGGCTCTACGGAGCTGACCGTCAACACTATCCAAGTAGACGAGCATCTTGGCTGGAACCTCTTCAGACAGGGCAAAGCCGCTTTCTTCCCAGATCTCACGACCAAGCTCCACATTCTCTTCGATGTCGTCGTGACATGCGATCCAAATTTCGTTGGAGAAATTGGATTCGCTCATATCAACTTCGGAGCTGATAGCCTGCAGCACAGCAGTTCTCACGCTGACTTGAGGAACGATGGATCCCTTAGCCAGGGCGGCGATTTCCTCGGATGTCATGTTAGGGGCAACGCATCGGCACATGTCAGCGAAGCAATCCTTGATGATCTTGTAATGCTGAGTATACTGCTGCATGGCCATTATCAGAGAGGATATAACCTCCAAGCGAGGCGTTGCCGGGTCTTCGCAGATGTTCGTATGGAAGGAGAGAAACTCGATGGCGAGAACAAGTTGAGCATCTCGATCGTCAGCAGATGAACCGAAGCCTCCGCTTGCGAGAACGGTAAATACTAGGGGAAGGGCGTAGATGAGAGACACCGTATCGAAAGGACGTTGCTCGCCGGCAAATCGCAGTCGGTAGAGCACTCGAGTGACGAGTACGTCGACGGGCTCTTCCTTGTAGTGCTCGGGTAGGGCACTAACCTCACGAGCGCGCAAGGTGGCCACTCCGACGAAAGGTCTCATAGGACCAAGGCGGCTGGTGGTACGGTCTGAGCATGCCAGGTAAGCCAGGGGAGCAGCATCGCCTGTGAGAAGACCAGCACCAGCGTCAATGACGTCCAGAAGAGCCTTGACAGCAGGTCCAATCCAAAGAGCGGACTCGGTTGGGGGTCCGGTTGCAAGACTCTGAATAATGCCAATGCCGCGTAGGAGTCTTCCCTCGATACGACGAACCGTGTCGCGGATTCCGGCCTCCTTCTTAAGCTGAGCATTGACCTTCGCTGTTTCCTCGGCAGTAAGCTTCTTTTGTTGGCCCTTTTTCTGGGCCAATTGCGATCTCAGCTCAGCCTCCCATTTCAGAATATCGTAGTCCTTATTGTTCTTGTCGGGTACAGTTGTCTGTGCCTTCTTCGCGAGGACATCCACGAAAGCAGTTCCCTCGGGGGTTCGGAAGATAGCAGCTTCAACCGGACCAATGGTGCGCAGTTCCTCGGGTTCCAGATCTCGGCGTATAATCTCGACAATCTTGCTGGTCATGGTATCGGGAGATACAAAGGCAAGCTCTGCCGCGGCGTTGCAGGCGGCTTGCTTCACTGCCTCTGATTTCTGGTCGATAGAAGTCCTCTCTGAAATCTCCTGCAGCAGGTCGCCCTCAATTTGGCGTGCCATTTCTCCGGGATCTCTTTCAACACGCAAACAAAGTTCAATCCAGCTTGTGCGGGGAACAAGCTCCTGTCTGGCGAGTACGAGCAGTGAGCAGAGCTGTTGATCTACGGCCTCTCGCACAGAGGTCTGTGAGTCTTCTGGCAGGCCCTTTGAGTTGACACATATGGCACGAAGAACAAGATGAAGGTTCGATTTGTCGGTTTTGGACAAGATAGCCGCGCTATCCTTGTCACCACTTTCCAGAGTTTCGAGCCAGTGCCAAATGCCACTCACGATAGCCTGCGAAACAAGTGCAGGTCTGATGACATAAACCTTGGTCAGACTATCTGACGCGATCTGTCTCGTCTTGGGGGTAGCCACAGAGGCCACAATGGCGTAAATGAAGGCCTCGGCCCAGGCCACGGCAACGGGCTTCGGTGTCCTCTCGGATAAATGCTCCGCAGCGGCCGCCAAAGCTCGGGAGAACCAAGTAAGCTCGTCTTCGGCTGTGATTTTACCGTATACACGAGGATTGAGCAGGAACGAGGGCTTCGGTTCAAGAGCGAGACACTGTCCAGTAACGGAGACTTTGGCAAGTGCTGACTTGAGCGCTGATGATACATTGGGTTGCTGCGACCACAACGTAAGGGTGATAGCGATGAAGGCGCCAACCGTAAGGTTATTTTGAGCTGCAACCAGAGGGTTGGCGACAATCTCGTTGTAGGTATCGAGAAGCTTGGGCACAGTAGCTTCGGCAAACTTGACAGCGTTTGCTGAGAGAGCGCCAGAGGCCGAAGCCAGGTTGTAAATCTCACCAAGGCGCAGAAGCCAGATGCGCCGTGTGGGAAACTTCTTGTCAGAAATACCCTTCAGGCATGCGTCAATGACCGGCTTGGCCACTTCAACGTCATGTTGGACTAAGTAGCCGGCCGATCTTGCGAGGGCCGACGTCTCAACAACGAGGGCGGCTTCATTTCCTTCCTTGGCTGAGACGGCCGCCAGAGCCGTTGCAATCTTGTCGGCGGTAGTCTTGGATAGTGGAATTGCCTCTAGCATTTCGCAGTGAAGGATTCTGTGGTCTGCTGATGCCAGCTTGCCACCCTTGACCGGCCCTACAATCTCCTCTGATATCTTTTCGAGTGCGTTTTCCTCGTGGCTCCGGGCAGCAAGGGCGTTGAAAGCCTTGACTGCCCCAGTACGAGTAATAACGTTGCTGGACTTCACATTCGAGAGGATAGGTTTCAGCAAGTTGCCGACCAAGATTTGGGAAAGGTCGTAGTCCTTGGGAAGGCAGCCGATCAAGGGGATAAGAACATCGCTCAAAACAATCTCAGGGGCCCTGAGCAAACCCTTCTCGAGAGGTGGGATGATCTCCTTGGTGAGTTCTTCAAGAGTGACGAAGTCAAGGAAGAAGTCCTGGAGGCCGGACGCTACGTGGGCCGGTAGTGCCGTGCGTGAACCAATTATTTCTCTAACGTAGAAAGTGAAATACTGGGATTTCTGGGCCTCGAGGGCTGGCTTGACGGCAGCGATTCTCGAACTGACGCCAGCGATGATGCCCAGAAGAGGTGCTTTCGCTGCGAAAGGCTGCGCGGCCTTGGCCGTCAGGAGTTGGACAGCATCTTTGAGGGCCTTCTCGGGGTTTTGGTGCTTCGAGAAGAGCTTGCGCAGTCCTCGCCGGGTGACAATGATGGCAGAATGGGCCATACCACCCTTGGCGGCGGGTTGAAGACACTTGTCCAAAGCATCCGCAACACTCAGGAGAATCTGAGAAGCGAACTTGTCCCAATCAGAGGTCTTTGCAAGGTGCTGCATGAGCAAACTGCACCATTCGACGAGAACAAAGGCATTGCTCGCGGCGATGCCAGGTTTCTGTGACTCTGCGCGCAACGCAGCGACGAAGGCACTGAGGACATCAGGCTCAAGACCCTTGTCCAAGATGGCGGAAAGACATTTCTGAACAGCGAGTCGCGAGGGTCGATCGGTGTAAAAGGCATGAGTCCAGAATAGTAGCTGGACAAGCTTGCGGGTAGATGCCGCGTCGGTGTCTGTAGCAACAAGATAGATTCAGCATCCTGTCTTGGAGAGATGATATGCGCGGTGGCCGTGATAGGAACGTCACGGAGGGCAAGGGCGCAAAGAAGGGTTCGTACCGGCGTTGGATATCCTTTCCTCAAGAATGCGCAAATGCGCTATTCTTGTCGAGGTTGAGGAGGAAGTCAAGGCGGATCTCGTGGCAGCGAAATCGACAGAGCCAGAGCTAGAGCCATTGGCGACGACTTCAGTCATTTTGGCGGAATTAAGGGCGGACAGAAGGCAGCATTGGGGGCAAGTCGGCCAGCTGAACGGTCGACAAGCAGGAGAAGGGTCGTCGTCGGATTTCGTATGCGGATCGGGGGAAGGACGACGTCGAGTTGAGCAGAGGAGTGAGGTGGTGATGAAGTGAAATAAGAGGCAGAAACAAACGAGAGGTTCGCCGTTGGCACAAATTGTCAGGCAGCGGAGAGAGTGGTACCTCGAAGTAGCCGTTGATGCAGTTGGGTACGGCGCAAGCGGATAGGGTCAGGTCAGGTCACCTTACAGGTACTTTAGCACTGGGCTGGGATTATTTGCAGTTGTGCCGCCCTCCTTAAACCTCAGTCCAGTGGGAATACTTTTTCTGCCGAACGCAGCTTGACGGATGAGGTGCCTGAAGTTCAGGTACTTGGGTAGGGTTGTGTGGCCCGGCGACCGAATCGAATGGGGTGGAGGGGTTGATGATCCATATGAGGCAGGCGGTGACCATGATATCGGTTATCCCACCTCAGATATGTACAAAGTACCTGCCCTTTGATACGCAGCGACTAATGTAGGTGGGAGGTTCCAGCTCGTCGCGGCGGGGCAGAGATGCTTGACCAGCGGCTACGATCACTCATGATGGCTCATCCAGACTCACCAATCGCCATGCGTTCGTTTGCTTCCATTATCAGAGATGACTTGAGGTAAGGTTATGATACAATCTCTATCTCGGTAGGCTCACCCCTCGACGAAGATAAATTTGCCCGTCTCTACGTCCCCCCGAACCATCATACAATCACTCGTCTTGTGATGCAGACAATGCATTTCTTACTTCTCTGCCACCACAGGCACGGTTCATAGTGCTGGAGCTCTCTCAGAACCTTGACTGGTGACGCAGGGGCAGCTCCCATGAAGCCCTAGCTCAAGGCAATGCCCAGGTATCTGCTAGGGAGCCACAGAAGTTAGGGGATTGTTACTGACCGGTCTGACTCAAAGAGGAGGGAAAATATTGAATTTTCCCGTCTTTCACACACTCCAGCCACAATGGAAAAGAGAGGAAAGTACCTTATTCTCCACAGAAAAACTGCCCAGTCTTACTCCTACGTACTGCCTGACTTATTAAGGTCGGTTGGGTAGGTAGGTTTTGCTGGATCACCCACCATTTAGTACCTGATGGGATCTGAGCATCTTCCAGACTTTCATCGGTGGTTGTTGTTCGGTTTGGCCTTGGGCGCAAAATCATTACCTTTGCATGTCGCGACCTATCTGTATTATAAGCCACGTGCAGTGCAGCATACCCACTGAACAGTAGGTAGAGAGGAGCCGATATCAGCTCAAAGGCTACCAGAGACACCTGCTGCCTACCCATCTACTTACCAGAGTATCTCCTCACAAATACATCATCATCATCATCCATCCATCCATCCATCCCGTCCTCTACTATTTCGTGGATCCAGCCAGACATGGTAGCGTAGGCCACGTTTTATCCACCTCAAATCCACCTTAGCCTTGCCAATTCCCAATACCGCTGACGGCCTGTCACTCCGTCCAGAATTTGGCGCCCAGTGTGCCAGGCAGGCACCCGACACCCGACTTTGCGGCAGAGACACACTCTCTTTGGGCTCACTCACTCACAAACACCCACTCACTGAGGTGCTTTACGCGTTGCACTCAATACCTTACCTCGCCTTCGCCCCGTCTCTTGCAAGCAATTCTGCCAGGGCCATTTATCAACCCTGACAATGCTAGGAGCCCAGCCACACCGTTGACATCACTCTACCTTGCCTGCCTACTCTACCACACTCAAATCGCCTCACACACCCAGCTACCAGGTAATTATTGTCACCTTCATCCCGGAGTGTGCTTGGTTGGCGCTCACTTGCCTCACACACTCAACCATATATTCTTGCTCACTCATGATAGGACCTCAGGAGGATTCAACGCCATCTCCGGCTGCTTCACCAGTCTTTGCCTTCCTACCGCCCCCTTCCGGTCCTTGGACCCTTCATTTTCCGCCTCCGTCTCCGCCTTCGCCTCTCGGCTCGGCTCCCTCTCCAGTCCTTCCCGTTTCTTCGACTGATTCTCCAACCTGAACTCATACCCCAAACTGCTTGCTTCTCACTAAGCAGCCCTTACACTCGGATTTTTGTACGCCACCAATCTTGCTTTCGACATTTTGCAGACTCACAAAACTCGGACTGGTTGCTAGTCGCAACTGATACCTCCTTCTCCTTCTTCAGCTTCACCCTACCGACCTTATCATGGCCGGTGCAAAGAAGAAGAAGAAGCCCGCCGCCAACCCGGCCAGAGGCTTCGCCACCACCTCCGTTGCATCATCCAAGCCTCGAACCGAACCCGCTGAAGGAGCCGATGCCGCTGCTGCGGCCCGGGCTGCCACTGTTGCTCCTGATGCTAGTTCCAAATCGGATGCCCCGTCAACCGATCCTCAGTCTTCCACCAATGGTGCTGGTGACAAAGCTGCCAAGGCGGAACTGAGCCCCGAGGAGTTTGAAAAGCAACTTGACGAGTCCGAATTGCAGCTCATGGTGGAAAAGTATGCGCAAAAGACAAAGCGGGATGCTCAACGCCAGCGCACCAGGCTTGAGACTGATCGCCGCCTGCTCAGAGGCCAAGCCGACACTGTCAACTCGAGGAAGTGGTTGCCTCAGGAGTTGATGGACCAGGTCCTTGATCTGATTCAAGCCGAGAGCCGCTTTGCATCGTCAAGTGTATCTACAGAGACCTCTGCGAATGGAAAGTTGCTGCCGGAAGAGGATATGACCATCAAGCTATGGACACTTCAACAGACACTCGCTAGTGTTGGCTTTCCAGAGGAACGAGTTCAGGCTGTGATGCGGCACATTCTTGACATTGCGCCGAACATTCCATCTTTCACCAAAGATAGCCTTTGGGGTCTTGAAGAAGCCCTTGACTGGCTGGCGAGAGAGTGTCCAAGTGATGAGTTGCCTGATTACGAGGGTCGAGGGAACAAGAGCGTTAGACAGTTAGGTAAGCTACGATTTTGTGAAATTCAAAGCCCTTGCCAAAGAAGCAAAACTGACCAGACTCATCAGATACACCGGCTGAGAGCCCCTTGCCTTCAGGAGCCACAACTCCTGTACCTGATGGACGCCAGAAGCCTGGTCAAGCATCCAAAAATGGCAACAAGAAGAAGGCCGTGGTGACTTGCGACATTGACATTGAGCCAGATGAGCTGGTTCCTGTTTATCTCGAAACAAAGATCAAATTATTTGAGCTTGAGAAAAGTCAACAAGGAAAACGAAAGCAGAACACCAACAAATTTGAGGCAAGTGACGGGGCAGATCTGCAAGCCGAGCTCCGCGCCAAGATTGTGAGGATCGAGAAGGACGTCCTCTTCGACAAGTTTGCTGCGGAGCAAGAGTGGAAGACCAAGAAGGTGGTCTTGGAGAAAGAGTTTGCAGCCGCAAAAAAGCAACAAGCCCAGGAGGAAAAGGAGAAGGAGTCTCCAAAGGCGGTCGCCGAAGCATCTGGATCTTCTGATGGAGACATCAACGACGAGGCCGAGCGTATCGCTGCTGAGATTCTGGCACAGAACGACGACGATGACGATGGCGGTCTTGGTGATCTCTTTGCCAATCTGCCTGTCACCGAAGTGGACGCCACGGGCAAATCAAGCACGGTGCTTAACGGCACAGACGGCGTCAAGATTACCATTCGGGATTTCGGAAAATGGACCGGTGTCTCCCCTATGCGGGCTTTGGAAGAGGCCTGCAGAGCGAGGTATGGCATTTCAATCACTGATGCTTGATACTCATGCTGACTTTGTTTCAGGGACGCCTCTACGAGGATCAACTACCGTCTCATTTCAGAAGTTCCTTTTGCTAACCGTCACTCTGTCTCCATCACCTGGGCAAAGCCTCAGGAGGTCCCATCCGCATCTCAGGACGATACAGTTGACGTCGTCAATATTCCGTCAAGCTTCAGCTTCAGCATGAAGTCCATCGCCACTCCCGACAAGAAACAGTCGGAAGCATACGTCGCAACGTGGGCCTTGTTCTACATCTTCGGCACCTCAGCAAAGGAAGAGAAGGTCGGAATGAGGTTGCCTCATGTATGGCGTGAGTTATGGGATGAGCTTGCAGAAGCCAGAAAAAGCCAGCTGGACTCAAAAGATCGAGAGGCAATTAGAGAGTTACGGGCTCTTGTGCGCCAAAGACAGGATCAGGAACTGGAGGATGGCGTCATTCTCCCCAACGCCTTCAGGGGAAGGGCCGCTGCCCGCAACCAGAACGACAACAAAGACGAGGCAGCTCAAGAGGCCGCCAAGCGTCTGTCCAATGGGCCTGAATATTATCAAAATATTTGGGCTCAGAAGATCAACACTCCTAGGTATCAGACCATGCTCCAATCCCGCATGCAGCTTCCCATGTGGAATTTCAAGCAGCAAGTCACGGATGCCGTGGACAGAGAGCAAGTCGTCATTATCTGCGGAGAGACTGGCTGTGGCAAGAGTACCCAGGTGCCGGCCTTCCTCTTGGAGCACCAGTTGGCCCAAGGTAAGCCATGCAAGATCTTTTGCACTGAGCCGCGTCGAATCTCAGCCATCTCGTTGGCTCGCAGAGTCAGTGAAGAGCTCGGTGAAGGCCGTAATGATCTAGGCACGCCCAGGTCATTGGTAGGCTACTCCATCCGTCTCGAAGCCAACACTTCTCGCGAGACCCGGCTAGTCTTTGCGACTACGGGTATCGTTATGCGAATGCTGGAAGGTTCGAATGATCTTCGGGAGGTCACTCACCTGGTCCTGGACGAGGTTCACGAGAGGTCCATTGACAGTGATTTCTTGCTCATCATCTTGAAGAAGCTAATGCTGAGACGCAAGGATCTGAAGGTGGTTCTCATGTCAGCCACAGTCGACGCCGAGCGTTTCTCCAATTACCTCGGCGGCGCGCCTGTTCTGACAGTTCCCGGACGTACATTCCCCGTTCAAGTCAAGTACCTGGAGGATGCTATTGAAACAACCGGTTACACCGTTGGCCAGAACCCTCAAGAGAAGATGGTTGATCTCGACGATGATGTTGTCGAGGCGGAAGCCGAAGGACCCAAGTCCACAGTCGGAGCTGATCTTTCAGCCTACTCCGCCAAGACCAGGAACAGCCTTGCCCAGATGGACGAATATCGAATCGACTTTGATTTGATTGTACAGCTAATTGCCAAGGTTGCCTCCGCGCCCGAGTACATCCCCTACAGCAAGGCGATCTTGGTCTTCCTTCCGGGTATCGCAGAAATCCGGACCCTGAACGACCTGCTCTCCGGTGACCCTTCGTTTGCGCGCGACTGGCTCATCTACCCGCTACACTCCACTATCGCGACCGAGGACCAAGAAGCCGCTTTCCTTGTGCCGCCTCCCGGCGTGCGCAAGATAGTGCTAGCAACCAACATTGCCGAAACCGGCATCACGATCCCTGACGTGACTTGCGTTATCGACACGGGCAAGCATCGCGAGATGAGATTTGACGAGAGAAGACAGCTCTCCCGCCTCATCGACACCTTCATCTCCCGCGCCAATGCAAAGCAGCGCCGCGGGCGAGCCGGACGTGTACAGGAGGGCCTCTGCTTCCACATGTTCACAAAGCACCGGCACGATGCCGTCATGAGCGACCAGCAAACTCCCGAGATGCTGCGTCTCTCGCTGCAAGACTTGGCGATCCGCGTCAAGATCTGCAAGATCGGCGGCATCGAGGAGACGCTGAGCGAAGCCTTGGATCCGCCTTCGGCCAAGAACATCCGCCGCGCTGTGGATGCCCTCATTGATGTCAGAGCCTTGACGCCTGCCGAGGACCTGACGCCTCTGGGTAATCAATTGGCCAGGCTGCCTCTGGATGTCTTTCTTGGCAAGCTCATCTTGATGGGTGCGATCTTCAAATGCTTGGATATGGCCATCACAGTCGCCGCAATCCTATCCTCCAAATCGCCATTCACAGCACCATTCGGTCAGCGAGCTCAGGCCGACCTTGTCCGCAAGGGCTTCCGCAGAGGCGATTCAGATCTCCTTACCGTCTATAATGCCTACCTCGCATGGAAGCGCGTATGCCAATCGAACACCGCTTCTGGTGGCAAGGACTTCCAGTTCTGTCGCAAGAACTTCCTCAGCCAGCAGACCTTGGCCAATATTGAAGACCTCAAGGGTCAGCTGCTAGTCTCGGTTGCAGACTCTGGCTTCCTCATGCTGACTGACGAGGAGAGAAGAGCGCTCAATAGAGTACGCTACGGATCCAACTCGAGAGGGGGACGACGCAACCAGAGCTTCTTTGACATTCCCCAACGTGTGAGCATCAACAGCGAAAACGATGCCATCACCACAGCAGTCATCACATGGAGCTTCTATCCCAAGCTTCTGGTGCGGGAAAGCCCAGGAGCCCGAGGTCTGCGCAATATCAGTAACAACCAGTCAATCAGTCTTCACCCATCCTCTGTCAACAAGGGACACAATGAGCTCAAGTGGCTGTCTTACTACCACATCATGCAATCGAAAAGGCAAGTTTCCTTGTTATTCAGCCTACGAAGTGCATAGACAAGAAGCTAACAGGCCAACAGCGTTTATCATGCGCATGAGACGACGGTGGCTGACCCCTTTGCCATTGCTCTCCTGTGTGGTGACGTCCGAGCCGACGTGAGTATCTCCCTTGTCAAGCTTGAAGCCCAATTTCAGGAACTAATCCATTTTCCCCCCACATAGATGTTCTCCGGTGTGCTCGTCCTCGACGGTAACCGCTGCCGCTTTGCCCTGCCCGACTGGAAGACGATGCTCGTTATCAAGGTCCTCCGCACCAGGCTTCGCGAGCTCCTCACTCGCTCCTTTAAGCAGCCCGGCAAACTGCCGTCGGCACAGCATGAAAGATGGTTGGCCATCTGGCAAAAGATTTTCTCGCAGGAGGCCAACAAAGAAAGGGACATGACTGCGAGTGTCAGCAAAACATAGAATGTTTGCAGCATTCGCTTGTCCTAGGACGATAACCGTCTACACGGAGGCCGTCCTTCTGGAGGGGTGAAAGTCTGGAGGGGTGAAAGGAAGCAAGCAGCCTTGTGCATGATCCTGTCAAGATGTTTCTGCCTTTGTAGGCCCAGGAGATCCTGTTGCTAGCTGATGTGTTGTATACACGAGGGCGGTACATTGTACGACGCCTATGGCCATGCATCTTTTCATCTGGGGAATCATTTGGAGAGTCAGAGCAGCCAAAGTTGGATGAGATAGCATGTCCATTGATGGATACAGTCCTTGGGGTGGCCGCGAGGCCAACATCGCTGGCACTGTTTACCGAAAGCCATTGAGGGAAGGCAGCAAGCACACTGAAAAGAGCACCAGCTGTGCCTTGTGTATGGTGGACAATGACAGACTACATGTAATTATCAAGCCAACAACCGATGCTTGTACTTGTGTCTCGCTAGCCTCACTCCGCAAAGTACGCTCTGCCTCTTGCAACCGCACATCAGTGGAAGGTTCCGAATCACAAAGGATGGCTTGTACAGCAAACAGATCAAGTTAGACGCAAGTACGGAACCTAGGCTAGCTGGGGGACAAGTCAGTCGAATAATTAGATGACAGAGCATTAGGCACTTGATATTAACCCCTTTGATGTTGAGGCATGATAAGATATGTATAAGTGTGTGTTTCTGTGTTTGCCAGGACTCCTACTCAAATGCAAGAGTCATAATACCATTTTCCCATAAACGCCGTAATTATTGACGGTCTTCCACGACCGGACCACTGCCATTTTCCCCCACACTTTCTCCGTCCTTGGGCGCATTAGTTGTAGTAGTTGTAGACATAAGCAGAGCCTTGAAGTCGGCATTGCTCTTCATCGGTTTCCGAGTCTCTGTTTCCACACCAGCGCCATTGACTTTGGATTCTGGTTGTGGATTTGCGGCAGGGCCACCCTCTCTCACGCTCAAAGCCTTGGGCATAAAACCCAATCCTCCCCTCTTGGCACCGCCCAAGACTGGCCGCTTGACAGCCGTGGAAGGAGGGATAAAGGCAGGGCCGGTTCCAGCCTTCTTTGGTGCCGCAGTCTTGTCAGTCTGCTTCTTGCCGCCAGTACCGTACACAATCTTTTCTGTCCGGAATTCTCCTTTTGCCCGTTTCAGCTCCTCAACAGATCCGGTTCGCAACTTGCGACCATCTAAAACATAGCCGTCGAGCTGGAGCATGGCGCGACCGGCACTTGGTTCGTCTTCGAACTCGATCTTGGCGCCACCATGACTAGGCTGGAGAACGAAGCTCTTGAAGCCCCCCACCTTCTCAACAATTTCCTTCACCCGCGCGTCGTTGACAGTGTCTGGGATATCTAGAAGGGCGATGGTCCGTGAGGCGATCTCGGCGCGACTTGGCCCACCTTGGGGGCCAGTGGCATCACCGTTGCTGTCTCCCATCGTCGCGTCTCCGTCATCGTCTCGACTTGGCGCCGGAGATGCGCCCTCTTTCGAAACAGCCGCTGACCTCTTGTAGATGCTGGGTGTTGACACTTGTACGGCGATGACGTTGCCGCGGAAGTTGACGTTGTTCAGCCCAGAAGCAGCCTTCTCGGCCTCCTCCTTGGTTCCCATTTCAACATAGGCTGCTCCATGGCCTTTACCTGCCATGTTTTTCGGGATGCTGACGCGCTTCACAGTTCCGTATTTCTCGAAAACCTTATGGACGTCATCCTCGCTGGCCGCAGGGTCGAGATTGGTGACGTGAAGTTCTCTGCCTTCCTCGATGGCGCCATCACGCTTCTTCGCACGGGACGGATCAGAGTACATGGCCGATAATTTGAACTTTCCATCGAGAAGAGTACCATGCTTTGCAGTTGCTTTAGCAGAAGCCGAACGATCGCGAAATGTCACGTAGCTGAAGCGTCGGCGAACGTTACCCTTCAAGCTGGGCATCCTGATACTCAGTATCTCGCCGCAATCCTTGAAGAGGCTTGCGATGTAGGCCTTGTCTGCTGTGGGCGGGTAGTTGGTGACGAAGAGGGTCAGATCAGTTCCGGGTTTGACGTTGATTTGGGCCGGTCCGAAGTATTTCCCGTCTCGGAGCAGAGCCGATTGAGCCTCCTCCGGGGTCCTGAATTCTACCATGACCGTCTGGGTGTTGTCTGAAGGGTCAATGGCAGGGTCCGTAACGTCGACAATGTGGCCGTACTCTTTGAAGTATTGGCGTATTTTGGTCTTGGTCGTTTCCGCAGGAAGGTTGCTAACGAGAACTGATGTGTTCTCTCGATCCCTTTTGAGGCTCTGATTCTTCAAGGCTGTCTCGGCCTCTGTGGCCTCACTTCTGGGTCGTTTGTTGGTAGTATCATCGGCTGTATCAGTCTCCGCTTCCCGCTTCCTCTTAGAGCTGGAAGACGCGTCATCATCCACCGCTTGAACTGCATAGGCATTTTGCTGTTCTTGCTGAGCAGCATAGTACTCAGCGGCTTGAGCTGCCTCTCTCTCTCGCCGCTTGGCGACCTCCTTGCGGGATTCGTAGACCGTGTCAATAGCAATGCGAACCGTACTGGGGAGCTCGTAGTCATTGCAGTGCTGGACGTAAACGTCAATGACCCTCTCAGGCCAGTCTAAGCTCTTACGCTTGATGGCCCTTCCGAGGACAGCCGTAGCCACCGACGGCACTCTTAAGCCAATCGCCGCGGTGGACGGTGTTGGGCTGCGGTCTTTGCCGTTGGCGGCAAACACCATCATTTCCCAAAGGTAGTAGTTCAGCCAGAAGTCGTAGCTATCGGCATATAGCTGCTTTTCGGCCAGCTTGTGCCACTCGCTTCTCGCTTCGTCGACGTTGCGTTTCTTCTCGGTTAAATACTGAATGTAGATGCGCTCCAGACGGAAATTAGGATCGCCTCTGTAGCTATCGCTGTAACGGTGTTTGGCCTCCTCAAGAGATTCAAGTGCAGCGCGCAAGCCCATATCAGCGACATCAACGTCCTCGTCGGTTGCATTCAGATCCATTGCCTTTCGCTTGAGGAACCCGCACCAGGCCGCGTACATGTCGATGAGCGCCGTCATGCCATTCTTATAAAGCTCAGGGTTACTCGTCGCCTTGTGTTTGATCTGCTCGATCTCGTTGAAGGGGAGCTTGGCGTCTTCAGCGGTTAAGATGTAGCGCGACCAAATGGCCCCTGACCACGGGCAGTGGTCAACAGCCCGACGCAAAACATCAACCATACCCTGGGGCGATTGTGCATATGTCCCAGAGGTAGATAGAAAGCGGACATATTCATTCCAGGTGGTATCGTCGAAGGCAAAGGTGCCGGTCAAGGCTCTGGCGTAAAGTCCCCGGCAGAGGTCACCCGTAGCCTCTGCCTGCTTATTGCTTCTCTTGCTCTGAGCGCACTCCCACTCAAGATATTCTCTGAGGAGATTGCGGTAAGCTTCGTCCTTGCCCTCACGGGACGCTTGGCGCAGCTTAAATTCGTAGTCGTCACGATCCTCGGTCAACTTCTTGGCCTCTTGTGATTTTGGATTTGCAGTAATTCCCTGCATAGTCTCCTCCCAGGCGGCTTTGTTATAGGTCGACAAAAACTCGGAAAAGTCTTGCATGGTACTGTCGCGGGTTACATGTGGAACCTGCAGTCGATCGGTGTAGAGGAACGTGATGCGGCGGATTCCCTCGGCGGTGCGCGAGCGTGCGAGCAGCCCACTTTCCAGTGATATCCATCGGTTCCAAAGTTCGTGACTGTCGTTGATTCGGAATAGGATGGCCTCGTAGCCTTGCTGCCATAGCGAGAGGGCAGCGTTGAGAGAAAAGAGCTCGCAGCCCATGCGGCGTTCCTCGTCGGGCCATCCTGCTTCGTAAGACTGACTGTCGACATAAAGGGACCAAAAGTAATCGCAGTATGCGCGCCAGACTTTGACGCTGTTGGGTTCGGCCTCGACGGCATGTTTGAACAGCTCGATGACATGAACGCGCTTCTCTAGATCGTTGGCGTGTCGACTGTTCTCAGCGACGTAATCCAACCATTTGTCCTCCCCTACCGGCAGGGTCGCCATCTTGCAGAAATCGTGAGGTCGTCAACAGACGAATCATGGGAGGAGCAGTCGTCACAGAGTGTGGTTCAGTCGTTCGCTTGCGCCAGACTCATGCACCGAGGGTGTAAAATTGAGGATGATGCGATGCCGACGGCGGCGACGAGGGGAGGTGGGTGTGGTTTGTCAACGGGGACGTGGACGACGAGTTTTGTTGAAGAAAAGTCAAGCTTGGACGGTCGGCGCGTGTACGAGCTTCGGAAGCTGCTAGCAACGATGAGTATTCGCAATCGAAGAATTGAAGTCGCGGTAGCGGCAGCGACACAGACTGCGGCTCTAGTTCCTCGCAAAAGGAGAAATACAGTGTTGGCCAGCAGCAACGACGAGAACGGATTGAAAAATTAAAACGTGGTCAACAGCAAAATGGAAACCTTTGCGCCGGTACGAGACAGGGCGGGCACGTAGGCAAGCAATGTCTATTCAGCCCGGCCGCCTTGCTCTCTCCCCTTTTTTTTTCTTTCCGTCTTTGCTTGGTACCTACCAGGCCAGGCTGTGAGCAAAACAATACAGCAGGTACGTTAATTGGTTGGGGTACCTTGGGCGTTGTCGGCAAGTACACGGGTACCTCAGGTACCTACCCCGAAAAATGACAAGAACGAGAAGGAGCGCTAGTGGAACTTGGAGCTGCAACTGGCAGTCATAAAATCTTCTTTTGCGGTGGAAAATGCCCATTATCCTCATTTACTGAGTTGTCCACTGGTTCATTTTCTACATTCCCATATGATACGAAGGTTATAGCATTCCAAAGTCGAGTAAGCTCAGTGTCGATACTGCCTGGTTACTCTACTGTACTGCTAAACTTGCCGATGTGTACCTTACACAAACTGGGATGATGCATTCTAGTAAGAGTCAAGCCCTAGGCTTGGTACCAATTGCCCAGCCGACTTGCTTATGCTTAAGCATACTTGAAGACATCGACTGCTGCGACGTCTCATTCATGGTTGCACGGAACCTTGGACATTGGGACTCTCCTAGGTGAAGGTACCGTGAACGCCCAGGACTCTTATGTAAGGAAACGCCATAGATCGAAGACACGGACCCAATCACGGCCAATTGAGGCAAGGTAAAGTCATCTTACTGGTTTGCATGCTTTGCGAAAGCGAGCGTCAACAAAGCTTGCGGGAAGCTCATAGAGGCCGGGGTATCGAGAGGTTGAGAACGAGGGAAAACCACAGCGAAACTACACGAACCGCTCAGTCCTGCCTCGTGTTCATTTTCCGCACACTCTCGCAGACTTGTCGATACATGTAGCTCGAACCAATACTTAGCTTACCTCACGCCCACGTAATAGGTCACCAGCGCGTCCCTGATCAGCTGAATTGAGATGAGAAGTGGAATGCCGGGCACATCTTGTGGGGAGGGAGAACCAGAGCCCGCCTATTCCCGGAGCATTACTACGCCGAAGCCCGGCTGTTATATTCTGATGAATGGACACGGCCGGCCGGGCAACAGTCCTTATCGCCGTACAAATAAGATGTTAAGTAAACTTTTGGTAAGAATTTTCCAAAGGGGCTGAACTTTATCTCGTTTGCCTTGCCCGGCTGTTTAGCCGTTTTTCAGATGGCTGAGGAGTAAGACACCAAGCCGTTGGCGAGGCCAGTGGGCTTGGCATTGGTGAGGTCATGCCGATGTGCCGCGAGAATGATGCGACGCCCAAGAGGCTCTTGACCTGCTGGGTTTTTCCAACTCTTGTGTTTCCTTCCATGCGTCTTGTTTCTGGCTCCGAGTACATTTCCAGGTACAGCCGATGTCTCCCCCTTTCTATGCACGTTTTGCTGGTCGAATCGGCCATCATGATCGTGAACTAAGCATCGCTATTTTCAAAGCACTTGAGCCCAGCTATTCATAGCATTCGTAGTGATCTCCAGCGCTAGTCTCCCTACCTTGCGGAATGGACTCAATGGAGTCAGGAGCTTACTCAAAAAGTCGTACCAGTGCTGCTTACGGGTACTTGCCTTAGCCCTCAAGGGCCTTAGCCCGCAATTTACGCGAGTCTATCTGTAAGTCGCCTAATTCAGAAGTCTAGACTCTGATGTCTGGTCAGCCGGCTCCGATCAGTCTCGGCACCGGAATGAACTCCGAGTCCGGATCTGACACTTGAGTCTCGACAGCATACCCGTCAACAGCTTCTAAACTTTGACTTCCCACCACTATGAAACCACGTGATGTGCAATCGACGCCTGTAGATGTATTCGCTGTATGCTGGTTCAATACGACTGTCACTCGGGCGGGTGGTAAAATGACAGCTAGTCAGCATATGATTAACCCTCTTTCCAATACCGTTCCGATTTTCCTTGTTGTCACAGTCTCGCCGAGGTACCGTTACTTTGAGGATGTTGTAGAGAATACCATCGAATAAAGAGGGAATAAGTGTAATTTGGGGCATTAAGTTGAGATATCGATAGAGGCAGAGGTAGTTATGAAACGTAGAGACATGGGATCTGTTGATGCATTCCGTCACCCAATGACCTGTCAGTCTACAACGCCGGAGCCGTGGTCCGGTTTAGCGGAGTCAGTAGTGACGAAGACGGGCACTCCGGCGCCGTCTCAGCCCAACGAGATCAGCTACACGACTATGAAGGTTTCGCGAAGCTGTCTGATTTACTCATAGAGCGAATATGACATCCTACTCAGTCTACCGCCACGAACATTCTGATAAGCCCATGTTTATCTGCATCAAGTTGGCAGCTGTGCTAGGAAACAGAATATCCAACTAAGGGCATCACTGTGTCTTTCTGCCATATGACCGGGCCTCAAGAGATCTGGTGATGGAGAACTTGAATAGCAGAACCAGTCATCAGTATCTTCACACCGTTACGCAGTCGCGAAGCAACGAGAGCCGGAACGACAAGTTGGCTCAGCCATCAACATGAGACCGCAATGGAGAACCCTGAAGATTTCGGGCAGGCGGTCGTCAAGAAAGAAAGAAGAAGAAAAGAAGAAGAAAAGCTCCACTTTTGTGGTGCTTGTTACAGCGCGCCCCTTCTGATTTATGCGCAGGGGATGTCTATCCTAGGCAACGCAAGCCACATATAGCAGAACAGCCGAATTATTGCCATCGAGATGTAGCCTTGTTTGCCGGTAGCCGTGATGCCGCGAGGCGCATGAATTCGCGACAAGCGAGTCCATTTATCGACGGCAAAGCCATGTTCAGGTCAAGATGAAGGGGCAGAAAGAAGCAAGCGGAGAATGCGGCAGGCGACAGGGCAAGCTGTTCGACATTTGAATATGGCCTAGCTGTTATGGGGCTTTCGCAGTCGAATGTGTACGTTTGAAAAGAATGAGTGAACTTCTGGAGATGCCTCCATAGGTACCGGTTGTAACCATGATACGGCGGCGACAGAGAATGGACTACGCCTTGGGCAGGCGTATTGTTCCGGCTGTGCTCCGTATCTTGGAGTTAGCAGCAAGAAAGTGAGGGTCAAGTGCAGCAACGGAAAAGCCGAGAGATTTGGCAAGCACTGTCCAGGGCTCCAGGCCGCTGAGTGTGTGGATAGAGGCTTCCCGTTTCGACTCAGGAGAGCGCTGAAACAGGGGAGCGAGGGGTCATGACAGCGGTACTTCGTTCTGTCTGCCCATTCGAATATTCTGTGCAAGGGCCAGCGGTGGAGGCCAAGTAACCGGCGGTAGACGCGCAAGTCTCCGGGACTGCGGTGCGAGGGAAGGCATACGGACGCTGAGGATAGCATGCGTTTGGTGGGAACGAACAGGATCGGAAGAATGCTGTTGGTTGAATACGAAAACACCCTCAGCTCGAGCTCACAAACTTTTCAACTTATCTCATGTTGGTACCTCACAACGTCGTTAACATTTATTCATAGAACGTTTGTCTTTGAGCCCAGGTTACCTTGCATGGGATTGGCATTCGGCGCGTTCCTTACGACCAGTCAAGTAGGTAAGCGGCACAGGTTTGGGGTCTGGGTATAGCAACTTGCTTAAGGTTAGTAGTTAGAAACCCATTAGTCCTGTCAGCACTGTCAGATGACAGCTTACATAAGGTACTTCCAGGGCAATAGAAGAGAAGAATAGAGACCAAGGTGCCTTAAGTAAGGCCGTCCAGGTCCCCATGCCGGCGACGGGAGTGCCGCACCGGCATCCGCAGTTCATGCAGCTCGATGGAACATGGAACTCCCAGGTTCCTGCTTTCCTTTTCGGGCACCCGGTTTGTCATGCTGCAGTCTTGTTCCCTTGTTGGATGACGACGGAATCCTCGTATCATGGTGCGCAGTGCGCACAGGCTAAGCGAATAGATCGGAAAAGGAAGTCTTGTAGCATTCTACCTTACTTACCGTGGACTTGGGTGTCGGGATGGATTTTGAACGATGCGCTCCGAGCCCGTCGCGGCCGTCTCCTTTTCCTATCTTCCGTGCCTCCCTAAGTCTATGGTGAAGCGATTGATGTGCGGTGGCTTGCGGTGGCTTGCGGCAGCAAGATACACGACCTGCCTAGCGCAGATCAGCCTCGGAACCAACGACAGGTGAAAGTGGTCGATGAGTGTAGGTACCTAGGCACGTGCTTGACCGTTGTAGACCCCTCATCGGCCAAGAGGACAAAAAGCGCAGTTCACAGGCTGGATTCGCCCCCTTTCCACCAATCTGCCGCCAACCTTCGTTTAGGTAGTCTTTAGCTGGGGCACGTCGCGCGAGGGGGCTTTGACTGTACCCCGTGTCGCAACTACAAGCAATTCCTATCCAGCCAACCAACCCCTGGCTGCGACTACGACTAGGGATCGGACGACCAGGCAAATAGCAGGTCGTTGGGGTCGGATGGGGCCAGCGTTCGCCAACAATCCGACAAGGTCCTGTTAGAGACGGGGCCGAATTCGTGCGTGGCTTATTCTTCAAGAATAGCTTCGGACGATCTATAAGATTTAATAGGACGACGCAGGTGCAACCCCACGGCGGCACACCTATATCAGCGCTACTTTGATGTGCAAACATGAGCCAACGTTATGCGCCGCAAACTCGACCTGTCGTATTGTTCCCATCATTCTTACTCTGTAGTCCGTCGAAAGTATTGTGACGAGGGAATTGGACATGGAAGCTTCACGTCCGGATTGTGCGAATCGCTCACCAAGAAGAGTGGATGTACGGCTGAGTCGTCTTTGCCATTTGCCGGGCCTCCCCCTCCATTGAACGTCATCCCTGGACCCCCATTTCCATTTCCGCAACCCCTGTCAAAGCGGGCTCATCCTGGCATGGCAGCTCGCGGCACAGACTCAGAGTACGTGGTAGTCTCCCTCAGATCGGGCCCAGGCCCAGTTGGGGATCCTCCACCAGAATCCATGGCGAGCCGCCGATGTGACTTGCCTCGACGGGAACTTAGCCTCGTAGGTACACCGTACTACGTACGCATAACAAGTCAAGGGTGACGAAAAGGCCAAGAGTCTCCCACTTCATTTTTGCCTGACCTCGGATGGGAATCTGGATCCCATGTGCGTCTTTTGTTGAATCATCGGATGACGCAGCTTTTGCGGTGATGCTCCAGGTATGCGCAGGTTGATCGTGTTAAAAAGCCAAAACACGAGAAAGACAAGGACATGCAAGAAGAGCAAGATGCAGCCATACTAAGGTAGACCGTCGGGGCCTCTCCTTCCTTTTCCTCGTTCCAGTCTACGTTGCCCTGAGGTGAATAAGGTAAGGTGCCAAGGGTGCCTACCTCAGGTAAGGGATTACCTGAGTTTACCTCAACCAACCTGGAAAGCGCCCGGGCCTGCTCCCTTCTCAAACCCGTCCACCCCTCGCATCAAGATACTTGCCAGTTAAGGTGCGTGTCCGTCACTTTTGTCTACCTGCTTGCTTGAGGAAGTACAAGTAAAAAGTAAGGTACCTACCTACCTTAGCTTTCCTCTGCAGAGTTTAGAGAGGACTATCCAGTATCAGCCAGCAATTGGCCCGACACGCCTGTCACCATCATTATTCATCTGCCGCAACTTACCTTGTCGACCTTGGGTATCGGTCTGCTGAGTCCAGACTTTATACATTAAAGGTACGCAACACGTCGGATGCCATTAAAACCGACAGAGAAGACAAATGGTTGAACACGTCTCCGTCTATACCTCTATTTGACGCGACTGTACTAATTTAACGTGGACGCGACAAGGTCCACGGGCTGTCAACTGCCAACGTCGCACTTGCACCAGAGGGAAACCCCGGGCTGTCTTCACAGCCTCCTGCCTGTGCTCGTGCCTTTTTGGTCCCCTTCTATTTCTCTCCCCACCCCCTTTCCCCTGTTCTTGACAAAAAGAGGAAGGAATGCCCCTCGTCATGAGTGACATGGCTCTCTGTTTTGATTTCCTCGTCCGATGATGTATCTGGATTCTTTGCTCATGAACCAGGGCAGCCCCGTGCATCTCATACGGGGCCAACAGTGCCTTCCATCCCATGATCCCATCGGATCGGTTGGCCCCTGCCATGACTTCTGGCCCACGTCCTCCCGTCCTTTCTGCATGTGGGTAAGCCACCGTGGTAAGGTAAGTTGCACTGCTCTCTCTGTGGAGGCAAGGTAGTCCCTCCCTGGACTGCCAGTGTAAGTGCAAGTGCGAGGGATATGTGGGTGTGGGAGTAGGACCGTGTTCCTTCTTCAATACGGCAATATCCCTCCTCCCTCTCTAAATCTGAAATATTACCCTCACTCCCCGCTCCCTTCTCATTCCCTCGGAACCTCACCTGCGAGCTTCTTCCCTTCTTTTCTCCTCGCTCTGTACCTTGTTTCTTCTCTTCTGCCCATTCGGAATCTTCTTCAGCTCTTCTCCCCAGTTCGTCCCACGCTGGCTTTTCTCTTCCATTCCTCCCACTTCGCCTTGACCGTTTATCTTCCATTCCAGCTTTGGTCAACTTGTTTCGCTTCTCCCGCCCCCTCCCGCTGCAAGTCCATCCGACTCGACTTGACCTGACTTTCTCTCTCTCTCCCCCCCTCTCTCGCGACGTCGACCATCTGCCGCCAGTCTTGGCCCAGATCACTTCAGCCATCTACCTCACTCAGTCTTGGGGGTTCGCGTTCTTTTGTCAGCTTCGTCGCCTCTTTAGTCACCTTGACCGTCTGCCGAGCAGTCTCACACGTTCTCTCTGAGCCTATTTCGCGCCACGTAACGAACGTCCTATTTCCATACGAATATCTGCGCCGTGCCGGAGTACCTCACCAACCACTTGAACTCGAGACAGATCATGATGTTCTGTGCGACACTCTAAAAGATCCGGTCTTATGCGCAACAGGTGTTAGGAGGTTCCAGAGAGTGACGCGCCGAAGTTTTGTCTCCAAGACACTTCAGTTGACGTTAATAACATCAAGTATTCTGTCGCACTTACGTTCACCATTCTCATCATGAGACGTCGATTCTGGTTTCGGGCTTTCGTCATTACGGCCCTTCTTGGCAATGTCTGCGCGCAACTGGATTCATTGCCACCATGTGGTGTAAGTCTTTGCCGAAATAATCATTCAGAGACATGATTGGCTGCAATAAGACACATTTCTAGAAAGCTGAGCGAGTATCAAGGACTAACACGCTCTTGCCCTGCAGATTACCTGTGTCAACAATGTCATTGCCAAAGGATTTGGTTGCGCCTCTGGAGACAATGCCTGCCTCTGTAAACAACAAGACTTCGTGTTTGGTGTTCGCGATTGCGCCTCGCAATCATGCGCCGCAGATGTAGCACCCAAAGTCAATGAATATGTCGCGGGTCTATGTGCAAGTGAGGCAACTTCTTTCCCTGATCTAATTGAGACGTCACTGACTTTCCATGATAGCTGCTACGCAAGCACCTCCTGCTTCGACACCGCCTGCGTCAAATCCGCCGGCTTCTACACCCGCCGTTCAGCAGACAACACCCCCGGCGGTGCTGCCGTCGACTTCTCAGCCGCCTCCGTCGCCATCAAGCTTGAGCGAGCCGCCGAAACCCAGCGCCGCCGAGACTCCCACTTCCTCTGAAGTCGTCAAAACAACTCCATCGGAAACCTCTAGTAACCCTGGCACTGATACTGCTCAGGCCTTCCAGCCGTCGACTGCAGTTCCGACCACCCTCGTAAGCTTAATGTTTTCAGTCTCTGATGATGTCTCTAGCACTGACTAACTCATTCCAGGCCACATCTACCAGGTCATTGTCCTCAACCTCTTCGAGGTCGACGTCGACATCTACCGGAGCTCGCCCATCGCAATCCGGCTCAGCCTCGGAGACCGGAGCGGGCAATCTAGAGAGCGATGCGGCAGGCCTCTCTTCATCTGCTAAGATAGGTATCGGAGTGGGAGCAGGTGTAGGTGTCCTAGCCATCGCCTTGGCCCTGTGGCTCCTCATCAGACGACCAAAGAATCGTACAAAGTCTATGCAAATTTCGGGCCCAATGCCTGGCTCCGGAAGAGACTACACTGGAGGTTTCATTGGAATCAAAGACAAGAATCACTCGGAGCTGGAGATGAAGTCGAGAAGGTACGAAGACATGTTGCCGCGCCAGTCACCCAGGCGTTTCGAGTGAGAGGCAGTTCACCGAGGCATTCGCCATGCCTGTCTTTTCGACTGGCCCATCTCAAGCAGATGAGCAGTGCAAGCGGATGTCTTCCACTATATGAATTATGACTAAATGAATGTTAATGAGCGGTTGCGGTGGAGTGGGGTTCAAAGGCGGTTGTCGAAAAAAGGTCAGCATTATACCACGGGATATCCTATTTCTATTGCATACATACACCCAAAGGCACCGGTAAGGTAAGGGGGATACGCAGCGAAGATGGCGTAAAGGACTCTATGACAGCTTTTCATTGTACATATTCTTACAGGTTTTGAGTGTGTTACAAGATGATATCTCAAGCACTTCCGGTTATGTGTCTTCCAGTCGTGACCTTTGTTTTTTTACCATGAGTAGTAGGGTCTCTGAGCCGTCACTGGCCGGTCAGGCAAATGCACCCAGGGCTTTCTCCTCGCCTGCTTGGCCAACTTCTCCGTGTGCTCTCGTATCCTCGTTTTTTCCTCCTTCAAGACGATTGAGATGCCTGCAAACTACTGTTAACCTCATGACGGACAAGATTGAGTGGTAGAATGGGAAAGCATCAAACATACTGGTTGAGGGCGACTGCATGATGCCGAATCTGCCTCTGCCCTTGTAATCAAGCTCCTTGGCCCTCCAAGGTCCTCGACCAACCCAGGCTTCAGCAACATAGAGTCTTGTCGGGTCTGTGATGGTCATGGTCTTGCCTTCCTTGGTCTGGATTTTGATGGGCTGCACATTGGTGGCAACGCGACCGATGCCCATGCGGCGGGTGACAACAGCCAAATCTCTGGCCTCTTCCAGCTGATACTTGACTTCGGCCGCCATCTTCTTCTTGGAGTACGACATCTGCAAAACGGCCTCTTCGAGGGACTTGCCCTGGATCTGGCGCGCCAGATGCACGAGCTTCTTGACGCTGGTCTCCAAAAAGGGGCTCTTGTGCGACAGCTTCTTCTCAGTCTGTGCGATACGCTCCTCACGGGTGACGTGGCCGTTCTTGCGCACCATCTGGATGACCTTCTTTCTCTCCCAGCGGAGACGACTTCGCGGATCAGGGTCGAGGCGCCACGCCATCGTCTCTGGTGTCTTCACCGACGCTTGGGCAGCTTGAGCCTTGGAGCCACCCTTTTTGCTGTCCGCGACGACATCGTCGACTTCCTCCTCGAAGATCGAGCTAGACATCTTGGGCTGCTGTGATTCGGCAAAGCGTTCGCGGACCTTTGGGTCATCGAGGTTCTCGCCCATCATGTCATCGGAAGCTTGGGCTCGCCTGCCGCGACGGCTGCCAAAGATACTGCCGAGAGTCCATTTGCTTCGCACCTGAGTGGCTGGTCGAATGGGTAGGGTAAAGGATCGAGGAATCGGTCGGGTGATGGCTTGAAGTGTCGAAGGAGCTGGTAGTTCAGAGAAAGTTAGCTACTTAGGGAGCCCAATTCAACAGGTGACAGCGATATAACACAGCGTTGGGGGCGAGAACGAAGCCGAAATAACATCAATTGGACATACCGGCTGAGGCCAACCGCCTCGTGGGAAGACTCATGGCTGCTACTGGTGTTGTTGATTCAAGCTGATTGATCGTCAACCAGCTTCAATCCCACCCGTTACGGGGAAAAAATGCTCGGAAGATCCCATGCGCGTTGATGGTCGCCCCTGGGCCACGTCCCTGGGCCTGTTTAGCCGGTGTTCCTCCGGCCAGTCTGCTTACCTAAGTTTTTTTTTTCCTGACTGAGATGCAATGGTAGATGCCAGGGCCAACCAGGGCGAAGCAGTTTCAATCACCGAAATGCTTAGCTAAGGCCCAGCAGCCGTCACAAAGCCATTACCTTGGTTGAAGAGGAATTGAATATCACGTGATGTTTCCCGTCGCGCGAATTGATCAGACCATTCCAGCTACCCGCCAAATATCTCAGCATCGTCAAACAACCCTCCGATTACGAACTCTCGGCTCAATCGACTACCACAACCCTCTCCGCACTACACATCACAATGGCCGGCGCTACTGCTGTTAAGCCCATCACGGGCGTGCGTTTTCCCCCCCTTCCGACTATAGAATTTCCGCCGAAATCTCGGAGGAAGAAGACGAAGGGCAACGGACTGTGGGCTAACGACAATTGACAGATGCTGCGACGCAACCTCGTTCTCGACCTTGGTATCGCCCTCGGTAAGCCTTTTTCGTGGGCAGGGCTGGAATTTGCAGATTTGCTGCTGCTGGATTGAGGGCGACATGCGTCAATTGAGCCTCTTGGCTTCAGCATGCAGCGATTTGCTACTCCAGTGTTCAACCCTTGCTTTCCGACACAATCCGAGAATGACTCAATTAACGTTGCCTTTACAGGTCTTGGTTTCGCCATGGCCAACGTCTACTGGTACGCGATCGTCGACTGAGTTCTACAGAAGTCCCACCCCCGAAAACTAAGATTGAATCATAGGTACGGCTTCCACATGCCGCGCACGAACGCCCGCGACAGCTACTACGCCAAGCTCGAGCAGCAGAAGGCCGAGGCCCGCAAGGCATAAGCGACAATCAAACAGCCGAGACGAAGCGGGAACGGAGCGAATTGAGATGGTCTGTTAGATTGGGCGGAGGAAGCACGAGAGGGCATTTGCAGTCATAGACAAGATACGGGCTTCATCAGTCGATCATCCAACCCCGATTGTACCATACACTTCAGCAATTGAACCAAGAGCCTCTTTATGTGAATTGATTGGATGCATGCGTCGATGTTTGTCGCCCTAGTCGACGGACCATTGCCCACCAGTCCATGTCACTTGATCCATGCTGCCTCCACGTTGAAGGTCTTGCTTTGCCGAAACCTCGTGTGAACCAAGTGCGACAGACTGCGGTACGATCAAGAGGACTTGGCTTTGCTCGTCTGATCATCTCATGTATCCAGAAAATACAGGCTTCATCGCTCGAGACCTGTGTTGGTGATACACATGATCGACGTTGGAGCGTTGCTGCATGATCTACGGATATAATTACAGCCTTGGTTTCGATGCACTCGGATCGATTATCCACGACACAATCTAGCCGGGCCGTATCATCATACGATCGGCCAGGTGCGCGTACTATGTGCTTCGAATGAGATGACCAGATAAAGATACCTGGATGACGTGTAGTGTGCGTCTAGACGCCATAGATACCCCGGAAACAATGATGCCCTGGCTCATTCATCCTCCCATGCCTGAGACCATTGATGGTATGATGGCTCACTAGAATGGCCGTCTTGCGATTTGCCGTTGCCTATAGCTTGGGAGTTGTGACGGGTGGTGGTGGTGGGGTCTGACTTTGAACCCTCCCAAGCTGTGGTCTCAACCATGAACGTGCCCTTTTTGTCTTGACATCTAATGAATCACATACACAATCAGTTTACAATATTCCCGACGACGGATATTTGTGCGACACTGGCAAGGAGAAGGTATTAGAAGAAATCAAAACTCACTGTCGGAAGAGCCGGTGAATTGGCCAGCAGCGGACCGGGCTATTCCGGGACTGCGAGTTCTCGACAAAGCACCTGTACTGCGTCATCTCCTTCAACGCACACTTGGTCAGGTCGACATCGGCGCCTCCTGGCAGCTTGCGCTTCTTCCCCTTGACATCTGCCTGGACGTGCACATCCAATTTTGACGGTGGGAACGCGGCACACGGCGGCGACATTTGCTAGCGGCGACGGCGACGGCGACGGATATGGAGATGGAAATGCCCTCGGTGGCCGCTTTAGCCGGCGCAAGGCTGCTGGGCGAGATCGAAGAGACGAACCTGGACGAGGTACGCAAGAATCACGAGTCCGTTCTGTTTGCGCAAGCTGTGGGTTTTGGGTTGGGGGGATGCTTCTTCAATTGGTTCCGGTCGATGAAAGCTGGATGAGTGATGTTTCCGTTCAACTTTTCGTCCGTGTAGCGAACGCCGAAATCCCCATGACCGTTCCTCACCACCACCACCAGCCATCTTTGACCTCATCACTGGTACTCACGCCCAGCCCCGCATCATCCAAATGACCACAATGAAGTCGCACATACGCACTAGCACTGACATGAAGCACCGCAGATACTGTATGCTCTCCGCATAGCGATTGATCCCGATGCGCCAACAAACAAATCGAAGCATCCAAAGTCATACCCCGTTCCTGGACTTGACGATCTTGTCCAACGGAATTTTCGTGCAACAAAGTCTGCTCCATTGGCTGTGACCGGCCGCCAACTCCTGCTCGTCTACGCACTCGTCTCGGCCCTTTTGTCACATCCACATAACAAGACGGTACTGATCCTCGATACGGAGCACCGTTTCGACGCAACTCGCATCCTTGGTGACCCAGATGACCTGCGCCACGCCTACGTGCATCGCCCAGCTCGCCGGAGCACCACTGTTGATAGCCGCAGCGGCGGAAGCGGGGGCGGAGGCGGTAGTAGCATCGGCGCGGAGCAAATCCGGGAGCTCGTCGCCGCTGCGGAGAATTGGATGCTCTACGGCGGACACCACAGCGGCGCCCGGGAATGGTGGGGAACCATAGTCATCGGCGCACTCGGGGCCGGCGACGTGACTGCCGCCTGGAAAGGATGGCTGCGCGTTGACCGCGAGTACGTCCCGGGATTCTCCCTCGGCTGCAGCGCGACGGAGGCTGTGAAGGACCGCCAGCAACGCCAGGAAGCCGTCGAAGCTGCGTCGTGGGCTGCCTCTTCGCAGTGGGGCAGTTTCACATTCACAGAATCTCACTCTAGCACTACGACGCCCGATGCCAGGGATCCGAGGCAGTCGAAGCGTGTCACTGGTACCGACCGATAAGAGATGCGGAGGTTGCAGAGGGACTTCCTGGAGGAACTCCTGGAGGAGCGAGGAGACGGAGACGAGCCAGCACCATGTGGAGGCGGGGATGGGGAGGAGTGTGCACATAGCAAACAAGCAGACTCACACTCCTCTCTGCGACCACCTTTTCGTACATGTACTTCTGCCATTCTTTTCTCCTCCCGAGTTCCATACTCGTGCGCCAATTCCTCCACTTCTTCCCCTCCCCTCCTCCACCAGTGATCAACAACCCGCGAATCCATTTCTGCCCGTGAGGAAACCCACGCGCGCGGTGGGTTGCCTTCTCCACAGAAGCAGGCGAGATGCGAGGGGGGAAACTGGCGACGAGTTACTCTTGGGAGACAATCTTCGTCTGGGCAACATCTGAGATGCTTTGCCAAGCAAAGACGTGTTCGGCCACTCGGCTTCTCACGGGTACCAATTCTCCAATGAACAGTAGCGCCAACGGCGGGATCAGGAAATAAACAGAGGGATGCAGCTTATATTCGACCCCGGCCGGGTCCTTAGCAGACCTGTGCGGGAGGCGGCGCGGCGCCAGGTCCGTGAATGACGGTGTTCTGCAGGCTCGGGGTCGGCTCGTGGGGAGGGGGGTTGCCAACAGCATGCTTTCATGAAGCTTGCTTCCCTTGCAGTAGTATTTCCGTTGCCCGGTTCGATGTGCATGTTCATGTCGAGGCGGTTGTGGCGGAATAATTACTCGCAAATGCTAGAAATGGTGGACTATGATGAACTATCGCTAGCCGACGTGTGGGCTATCATTCACCGCTATAATTCGCTCAGTACATCACAAGACGGTTAATCGGAAGTAATAAGAGTAATCCAAAAATATTTGGCGGCTAATGCGCCTGTAGATTTGACCGATGCGAATCTGCTGACAAGCTATTTATGACTCTAGCATCTATCTGTAGTCGTGATGTTCATTGCTGACGCCTTTGGTATCACACTTTTACTCCGTCCAAGTGAATAATCAGATTCAGAAAATGAGGGAGCTCTGAAGAGAGCTTTGGCAAAAAATAAAAAAACCGCTAATATCCCGAACATCCCTTTTTATCGCGCAAAGTTGTAAATGCTGAAAAGTCGCCGTTTCTTTAACCCAGAATTGGTTGCGAACGCTCCTCAAGGGGAGTGTAACACGCGCTACCCTTCTCCTGCATGGCGCGAAGGCAGTCTTCTTCGCCGAGGATGTCCTTGCGCAACGAGGTGACGACCCGCTTGCGGATCTCGCGCTGAATACCGTAGCGCACGGCGTCCAGGACGGTGTTAACGGTAGCCTTGGGCTTGTAAGCCGGCTCCGTACCATCTTGGTAGACACCGGTCTTGACCAGGATACTGTGCCACTCGTTGTCCGCGTGCTCGTCGTACAGGTTTGTGCCGCGAATATCGGACTCGGGAGTATCGCCGACAAAGTAGACAGTGTCGGGAGGGGCGTCGAGGCCGTGCTGCTGGCGTCTCCATTGTTGCAGGAGCCTCGTCGCAAACTCGAACGTGCTGACCTGGGGCTTGCCGAAGGCGTGTGTGTGGAGCTTGCCCTTCTTCTTGGTAACGTCCTTGAAGGCGACCTCGAGCATGCGGCGGAGGGCACCCATGCCCAAGCGCACGTTGTCGTGGGCCGCGGACCAGACGACGTCGTTGTGGGAGAAGTAAATTGGTGGGCCCTCATCAAAGGTCTCGCTCAGAGTACCGATCTTGCCGCCCTTGGACATTGCGATATCGAGCATGATCTGAATATCACCGGCCCAATCGCGAGAATCCGCGAAGACGAAGACGGCCTCGATGGTAACGTCAGTGAAGTCACGCTCGCGAGAGTTCTTGAGCTCGTCGGGCGTAAGCTTGCGGAATGGTGTTGTGGCCGAGTTGTGCTTGATGATATCGCCGGGCGTGATGACGTCCTTGAAGCCGTAGCCTTCAGCAACTTGACGGCACTTCTCGCCTTCTCCACCGACAACCAAGACAGTCTTGAATCGGTCGGCCATTTCCCTCATGGGAGTGTGGCCACAAATGAATTGTGCAGGAGAGATTTCGATCTCCATTTGTTTTGACAAGTCGCCACATCTTTCTTCTTCGGTCTTGCCGCCTCCGTTCGTGAGGAAGATATAAGGACTAAAGACTTCCATGTCAGTTTCGGATGTAGGTCAAGCAATGAGTTAGAAGCAACTTACATCTGAATGCCGTATTCATTCTCGCCGTTGAGTACCTTCATAGCCTCAACGGCCTCGGGGATGGCACGGCCACCACGGATAAGGACACCATCAATGTCAAAGGCGAAAGCGAAGCTATCGGCCACGGGAGCATCGACTCTTATCGAAGGGGTGACGGGTGAAAGAGCGCTAGCAGGGCTTCCGACAGGAGAGTCGCCAGGGGATGATGCTTCTGAGCCGTCGAGCGAGGAATCAGGAGTGCTCAGTGCCATATTGTCCAGTTGCTTCCGGGCAGCTTGAATGCTCTCGATGAAGCTGCCGGTGGACGAAGCTCGGTGATTGGGAGCCATGGTGGGTGGTGTAGAGAGTGAAGCTCTTCAAAACTGGTTAATTGAATGTGGGTAAGAGCTGTAAGCCTGTGAATGTCCAGGCTAGAGGGGCTGACTTGGGGAGTGAAAATTGAAGCTATATCTGTCAAAGACGGAGCTTTCGACGAAGATGATAAGTTGAGATTGGGATGAAGTGATAAGACAAACAGGTGTAGATAATTCAAAAGGAAATCACGGGGGGGCTGCCAGATTATATACTCCCGGTATGAGAACATCTTGACTTGATGCTGACGTCTCTGATCTCATTCTCTCTTACTCTCTCTTACTCTCTCTTACTCTCTCCCTGCCCCTCGCTTTCAGAAATGCGCGCTTTCGAGGCGCCCCTGCGCTACCCTCTTCCAACATGTGGAAGTCTCCGCTAAAACCAGGCAAACGCGGGTCCTTGCTCAGTGACACCCTTGGGATGAGTTTCTTGAGTCGTGCATGGTCGTGGATACCGTGGAGGCGAAGTAGCATGAGAAGTTTTTTTGGATCCAAGACCAGGAGAGGAGCCTTGCTCCACTCTGTACACACAAGGACCTTACCTGGTGGTGAAATTTTATGATTACGACACAGAAGAGGATAAAGACACTGCCCTTTGTTGCGAGCAGCACTGCTGCAGTAGACGTACTTCCGTACAGAAGAGTACCGCCAAAGGGAAACGGACCGGGATGCGGCTACTTGCCAAGAGGGAGAAAACTCGTGTGGCACCAAAGGTTCCTCCATCTCACCGCCAGGGCAGACTTTTAGTCCGTCTAAGTAACATTTGTTCCTGGCTCCTACGGGTTTTACCAACACAGATAGATCTGAAGTACAAAGTACAGACGTAGTGCAAGTCACAAAACGGGCGAGTAACCCAGCGAGCCACCAACAAGAGAAGGGCAAAAAGCATGTTTAGGAGGCTCCATAGGCAGAAGAGGGATCCATCTTGCCAACCGTCATGGTGGAGACTTGGCTTTTCGGGTTCCTCGTTGCGGCTGCAAAAGATTCCGCCGTGTGTCGCGCAAGGCATATGGCTAGGGGCCTCGAAATGCCCCGAGCAATGATGATGATCTGGGTACCGATGCGGCAGCGATCGACCCTTACCCGAGGCGGCCTTGGCGCGACGACGAAGCACATGCGAGCCGCCGTCACGGCCAGCCGTTGGACCCTGAGGCAAAATGCAAAGGCTTATTACAGCATGCACAAAGGCTATTTGGTGTGTTCAATTTCTCTCACTTTTTCGTTCGGGCATGTACCGGTATCTATCTCTCAAGCCCAAACATGGAAGGATAAGCCAGGGGAACTCCAGGGCAACTTGGCCTTGTCACAAGGAATCTTGGTAGGTAATTCGGACCAGGACCAAGGACGTCAAGAGGGGGAAAAGGTAAATACCATGCGGCGTTTCGTATGTCGAGTATCCGTACCTTTATCTGTATAATGGCACGAAAAGGTACTCCGTAAGGTAGTCCGTGAAGCAGACCATGCCTAAGTCAGTCGGTCTCGTCGGCTTCTTGTCTTCAGCATCAGATAAAGCAGCACCGGCGCAATCTCTGCCCCTCCTTCGCCCGCCTCCTTGAAGACCCCTCCATGACTCCCATTGGGCGTGTGCCTACTCCTTATCGACGACTCCTTACGATACGGCAGGCTGACACAGGGATGGTGCCCGCAGGAAGTCGTGATAGCGCCGGTGGTGGTCCACAAATGCGAGAATGCACTTGCACCATGAGGTGAGAGATGTATCAAGGAACTTTGCCCGTGTGGTGGCCCAGCGGGTTCCATAAAAGCGGGTTACGGAGACCCCGTAGTGACGTCACCGCCAGTGGGCCCCGATGTCGCGACAGCAAGGATTGCGATGAGAACGCCCGTGGCTGGGATGGCTACACCTCATTGGTCGCCGTCATGGGCGAGAGGCTCCGCTAGACGGCCCGAAGTGGCAGTCGTCTCTTCAGCGGCTTAGGTAATAGTAGAGAGCCTTTCTAGTGCCCCCCTATGGCAAAGAACCGGGCATCCAGCGGCATCGGGTCCGGAAACCCCTCGGTCCCTTGGCCGTTCGACACCGGCCCTGCATGATTGCGCTTGTCTCACCATCATTAACTAATTGGGACATTGAAAGAAAACAGAGGCAAAGTAATTGCGGAGAGGCGAAGAAGAAGGGGGAAGAGAGATTCTTCTGTTGCTGACTTTTTTTTTTCCAGCTCCAAAGAGGCCACTTCGCCGCTCATCACTTGTGTCATCGCCCCGAAAGAGCGCTTAGATACTATTCTAGGTTGGTTCATGACTCGGCGAATGACGTCCATCTTTCCCTTCTTCATCTCAAAGTAGGAACACACTATGTACGCAGAGTCCAGACTGAGTACGACAGTATTCAGGGTAGTTGCGTGAACAGGGCCACAAAATATCACCAAGTCCAGAACATTGATACCCAAAGAAACCACGCATCTCCAGACCATCCACTTATGCTGTACCCGCTCACAACATGTGTATTTTGTGGCCTGTTCCTCTAAACAAGTCCGGGGGTTTCATTATTCTGTGACCGACGGTCGATCTCGACGTTTCTCGAGCGGAGAATTGGGTATAGCATGGACACGGGCAGTGTATCTAGTGAACAGACGTGAATCTTGGTGTATTCGTAGCATGAAGAGGTTTCGAGATAATAATGTAGCACAAGCGCAGTTGCTCAACAGCTCGATACCCGTCCTGCCGTATCACACGCTTCACCGAACACTCCCGAGATTTGCGGTTGTACCGGTAAACGCCCATTTCCCGTCGCGGGCCTTTGCTTCCTTTGCGGCCGGCCTCCCGTCACCGTTTTTTTTTCTTCTTTTCCTCCTTGCTGCACAACTACGCCATTATCCAGCATTGCCGAGCCGGAGGAGAACGCCCACCCACGGCCAACCAAGCGTAAACCAGGCTTCAGCCCGGCGCTATTACTGTCGCGTCCCGCTGCCGCCATACACGCTACTCGTCAGTCGCATTGTGATGCCGTCACCGTTGACCAGACTCCATGCAGACACCCCTGCCCCTGTCCGTATCCATACTGTATGTATGTAGGGATGGAGTCCGTCACTCGTTCAGCCAGTCGAGTGCACCTATCAAGGCCGTCTTATTCGTCCGTTGCCCTCGCTTGGACAGTTGGAAAACCACCGAAGACGGTGAAATTGGAAACCGGAACCACATTTCGCCCAAACAAAAAGCAGACAAACGACAAGTATGAGGGATGGGCAGAAGGGGGGCATTGGCTTGCATACGGAGGCCTGATCCTTGTCCAGTAATATGAGGATAAGAGCGTTTGATGGAAGGGGAAAGGAAATCAATGGATTAGCGTGACTGGCCAACATGAGCACGCAAGTGGATTCAAGGAATAACGCTCACTTGCTAATAATCAATCATACATTCCTCAATCCTTGGACTTTTGTTTCATCCTGCGGTGCTTGAATGCGCCGGTTGGAAAGGTAGGCGGTCTTTGCAACTGTGTCTTTTCTTTTCCCATCCGTGCCCTCATAAATCCCTCATCCCGTCGTACTTTTGAGTCCTCCATGGGCCGGCATTCTATCTGCTACTCGGCCAATAGGCGGGATACCCCGATACCAAAGCACTTTAAACCAAACAAAGCAAACTCGAGCTTGATAGGCTGAGAGCGCTTTATTGAAGATTAACAAAGAGGCCGCCGTCGACCAGCAACTGCGCGCCAGTCACATAACCACTCAGGTATTCGCAGGCTAGGAAGACGGCGGGCCCGGCGAGGTCGGACGGCACGCCGGTGCGGCCCAGTGGAATGCGGCCCTCCGTGTAGGCCCGCTTGGCATCGTCGGCCAGGTCCTCCTCGTTGAGCTGTGTCTTGATCGTACCGGGGAGCAGAGCATTGCAGCGAATATTGTACTTTCCCAGGGCAACGGCAGTGCTCTGCATGAGGCTGAGTACACCAGCCTTGGTTGGGGTGTAATGGGTCTGCTGGCCGCCACCGACGAGGGCGGAGATGGACGAGATGCCAATGATGCTGCCACCGGCGGGCGATTGCTGGCTCATCTGGCGAGCGGCTGCCTGTACGACATAGAAGGCGCCGTCGAGGTTGGTACGGACTGTCTTGGTGAACAGGTCCGGAGTCAGCTCGAGAAACTCGGCAAATGTGCAGATGCCAGCATTGGAGACGCAGATGTCTAGACGGGCGTTGCCGGAATGCTCGACGGCACGGGCTACCAACTTTGCTGCCGTCTCGGGCTCGCGAACATCACCAATTATATCGGCCAGACGACCCGCGTTGGGGTTCTCTTGCTTTGCAGCAGCGGCGTCGGCAACGAGAGCATCAAGGTGGGGCTGGTCCTTTTCAAGACCCAAATGGTTTACGACAACGTTGGCACCCTGCTTTATGTATTCCAACGCAATAGCCTTTCCAATGCCAGTGGTGCCGCCCGTGATGATGGCAGTCTTGCCGGCAAGCAAGTTCGTCGGGGCCATGGTGCACAATGTGAAAATATAGCAAGCTTCCTTGAAAAGGAAGGCTGTCGTCGATATATAGGATGTCGAAATGAGGTCGTATGCGGGGTTGCCTTGGACGGCACGGCGTCGAATCAGATCCTGGTAATTGGATCAGCCAAAGAAAGGACCAAACGGTGAACGATTGGCGATAGATGGCAGACGATTGGCGAGTGATCGTGTTCGTCTGTAAATCCGTGGTAGGCTTCGCTCGTGCTCGTGCGCGAGGACGGGTGGTCGGCAAGTCTATATTTGTAGTTGACGATACATGCCTGGAAGAATTCTGGTTGGTGCGGAGGAGGCGGGACAGAGCTGTGAGGACGGAAGGGGGGGTTATTATGCAGCGAGGGCGGCTCAAGTGAGACCCGATGACCGAGCCACGACTGCCGCCCGCTCCAGGAGGTGCCTTCCGAGTCCCACGATACCTACTCGGGGGGGCAGAGTTGGGGGATCTTAGGTAAGGAAGGCTGCTTGTACGTATTCATTTGTGACCCCGGGGCAGCTGCCGATGACACACCCCTTCCGTGACCTGCGTGAGACCGTGGCACGCGTGGGTACCCTTTTTATTCGGAATTCCCCATGACTTGCGGGCATCCCACTTTCCACCCCGCACTCTCGGTCATAATTATAGCGAGCCTCACCCCTCCAACCACCACGTTGACCATATTGCGTATCCATCCCACCTGAGATGCTTCATGCTCTTCCCAGGTACGGTGTTTCCTCTGTGGTGTTTGTGATTTCGTCACTCCGCCCTCACTGCCTCCCAACTGGTTCCTTTCTCTTAATGATACATGTCGAGGATGGCAATCGTAGGCCAAGCTAAACATAGAACCCCCACTCTCCGCGTATGTCGCGCACGGCTCCGCGAATCTCAACTTGATCGCCACAGATCAAGTCGAAGCCTTTGGTTCTGACACATTTTACGAGTAGTCCCGAGGGTTTCTCTGCCGCCGTAAGGCAATTAATGATCATACTATTGCATCCTTAGCCTTGGTTACAGAGAAAACAAATCCAGTTCGTGATGGTCAACATTCCATGTAGCTGCTGTAAACGTTGTCATAAATCTATTTTACGTGGTAGCTAAGCATACCAGCTGATTCGCCATGTACATTGCGCCAATAAGTCATGTCCAACACCGCTACATAGTTGAACCCAACCGCCCCGGTCTAAGTATTCCCAATAGCCGTGCAAGTGGCATGCTATTTTACTTCGACGATGTCACGGGCCTTTGAATCTGGCCGCAACATCATGCATAAAGCTGCTATTTATTTCGCCTCCGTCTCCTCCACCGACTTGAGGGGCCTCTCCTACGCAGTTGTTAGCACATCTGATAACACAATGATTTACGACTTTCTGTCCACTTACGGGGCTGGCATTCAACAGGGCCTTGCCCGAGATCAGTTTTGACCTGACGGCGGGGTTGAGCGTCAGACCGAAGCCGGGCTTGTCAAGATCAGCCGTCGTCAGGAAGCCCTTTGTCGGGATGGGCTCGTCGAGGAACAGGTCGCCGAAGACGGGGAGAACGCTCTTGCCGTCGGGCGAGTTGGCGAGGTACTCCTGGAAGGGCGTGTTCGGCTGCGAAATGACAAAGTGGTAGCTGTAAGGGCCACTGGCGTGAGGCACAACAGGGATGTCGTATGCTGAGGCCATGGCAGAGACCTTGAGCAGTTCCGTGAGGCCACCGAGCCACATGACATCGGGCTGGATGATATCCAGGTTGCGTCCCTCAATGAGCTTGCGGAATCCGAATCGAGAGTACTCGTGCTCGCCAGTGGTGAACTTGATGGTGGGGTGCGCGCGCTTGATTTGCTCAAAGCCGTCCGTGTCATCGGGCGACAGACACTCCTCCCACCAGTTGATGTTGAGGTCCTCGCAGGCCTTGACAATTTCGATTGTGTAAGACACATTGAGACTCATGTAGCAGTCCACCATAATGGGGAAATCGGGCCCAACGCTTTCGCGGTGCTTGCGAAGGAACTCGACGTTCTTCTTCAGGCCGGCGTGGCCATCCTCTGGGCAGTACGGAAGAGGGACCTTGCCGCCCCAGAAGCCCATCGTCTTGGCTGCCGACGGTTCGGGGCCAGTGCAGTAGAAGTCCAGGCGCTCCTTGGTGGCGCCACCAATGAGCCTGTATACAGGCTCATTTCTCACCTTGCCAAGCAAATCCCAGATGGCGAGATCGATGACGGAGATGACGGCAAGAGGAAGACCCTTTCGGCCATAGAACATGGAGCCTCTGTACATCTGCTCAAACAGCAGGTTTGTGTTTCGGGGATCAGCGCCGATGAGGAAACGCTCAAAGTGCTGGTGGACGAGCCAACACGCCGGAGGACCTGCGCGGGATTTGGTCAGCAAAGTCTTCCTCAGCCATGTGCTCTCGTATTATGTACAAGACTACGCACCTCCAAAGCCAGTAGCAATGCCGACAGTGCCGTCTGTCGCTTCGATCTCGATGAGGAATGAGCCCAGGACGTTGATGCCCCAGCTAGTTCTTGAGTTACGGTACTGCTCCCATCGCGAACAGGGAGTGGAAATGGGGCTGTCAATCAGCCTGTTTATTGCATTGTTAACTCATGTCGTTCTATGTGTGACGAGGCTCATTCAGAGCAGCGCTACAAACGTACCAGTGGCCACCCTTGACATTGTGGTAATCACCGCCGGAACCAACGCCGCCAATGACAAACGTCCGAATCTCCTTGATGGAGGGGAAGGACCTCACGGACGCCATTTTGTTGCCTCCAGAATCCGCGTCTGCCAGTGTAGTGAGCAAGGAAGGGGAGGAAAGAGGGGGCTTTTGAGAGTGCGCAGGTGAGACACGGTATGATGATGGAGAGAGCAAGTGAGGGGGAACGGAGGGGGATTGGGTTTATGGGCGTCTTTTAAGAGGGACGGAAGACCACTTGTCGCCGGGATTCCAAGACATGTGAGCGCAGTGAACAAGACAGGAGTAGAGGAGCCATGGCGACCGAATCGGACGAAAGTCCACGTTAGTGGGTTCTAGACACAGCAGATTCGACACGAGTCGGCTCGGAGCCAGACTGCTTTGTGCCATTGTGGTGGACGGTGGTGGACGGGAAGGTTTTGGAGATCGGCAGCAGATGCACCGACAGGCGGAAACAGGGGCAAGGCAGTGGGTTACGGGAAAGGACCCCTCCCCCTCATCCAGTCCCCATCTGCCGGCCTCGGATGTCGGGTGTCAGTGACATGGCTTTTCCTGAGGCTTTCAGACTTGTGAATAGTCTAAAGCGAAGTAAGAAACACTGTGAGACAAAAATATACGGGCGTTCGAGGGCCATCAAACAGTGCATGGGCACTTGGGCACGTTTATTGTGCACCAGCTACGATGATCAATGCTTCATACACATACAGCACGAAAAGGGAAAATCGTGCGTAGATTACACCTCAACTCTCTAATGGCTTCTCGCTTAGTCTCCGGCCAGAACCGATGACACGAGGGCACAGGGCCAATCGGACAATTCTGGGCGTTGGACTGGCTAGGCCAAGTGTCTACTGCAAGCATTGCTGCAGTCATTGAGTCGTCAATGAGTTGAGGGTGTGTGTGTTGGTTGTGTGAGAAGGCGCATGGTGATGGACAAGATCACCGTGGGGGCACGGGGGGAGTATCTCTCTCGTCTGGGGGTAACGAGCAGGCCAATTCAGTCCCATAGTTGAGTGTATCCGCACAAACATAGGTACTCAGTAATTGACTTTTGAGGCGGTGGTGAAGCGCACAATCCCGGTTGCTCGGGACGGGAGAGGCCGTAGCTGAGAAGGCTTGTGGCACATTACCTTATACCATGGGCTAGCTAGCGTATGGTCCAATGGAAGGTATGTACGCAAATAATGCCATAATGGCTATCTTGACTCTTGAATGTTTACTTTTTCCCCTCTCGCCTCTATTTTGTCGGTACCTAGGTTCTACGGTGGTGAAGTTCGTGACTCGGTCAAGCTGTATCCCAGCAGTATCGAGCTGCACGCGATTCCTCTTTTCAAGTACCCACCGCTGGTTACGGGCGACTTCGGAGACGTGGGATATCTTCGCCCGAGAACTGCACCGAATTGCCCGATGTGGGTCCTACTCTTGCTGGTCCGAGGCATTGCACGCTTTCTCAACGAAATTCCTCTGCCTCATTCCATCTTGCCTTGCTCCTCTCAAAACATTTTCCTCCGAAGCACGTTACATAAGACATCTTACCTAAGGTCGGAGGTAGGCCGACAGTGAGAGCCAACATAATCAATCGAGCAGTGAGCAGAGAGAGCGTGGCACCTGGAAGATGAATGATAACTGAAGAGGCTGTTCATTGATGCAGAATAGTCAACCTGATATGACTGATACTGTATGGATGGAATCCGAGGCTGTACAGGACAAAAGACTGAGTCTTGTTTTGTGTTGGTCTGTGGTAGGTATTAACATTGACATACTTAATTCTTCTGCGGCGTGCCATGGTGACCGTCTCACATTATTCAAAGTACGTACCGATGTCTGGGACCACAGCCACCTCCACACTCTGGAGTCTGCTGTGGCTGGGTGTGGGATGCCTCATCCAATGAAAGAGGCTAATTCATCCCGCACATTCCAGTCCCGAAGGTTTCATTGGATAAAAGCGTCCCAAGGACGGGGCACCTCGTTGAGCCTCGGAAGGTGCCAATCTGTCAGCGATTTCTCCGCATTTTCGTCGCTCTCGTGCGGGCAGTGGTGCGGGCAGTGGTGCGTGCGTGCCCGCTTCCTTCTTCTTCCCCACACAATCCATTTTCGATTCGGCCGCCCCCAACCGCCGGCAACATTCGCTCTCTACCTGTCGCTTCATCCCGCGTTCTTTCTGATCTTGTCTTGCGCCTGATATTATAGTGGTCGTCATTTTGCTGAGCTGCCAAGGGCGAGCGCTCTCTCACAAAGACCCTCTAGCACGGAAATTGCGTCGTCGCCTGACGTTCCTGGGCCCTTCACGTTGTCTTGACAGCTCGTTCCTAAGGCATCATTT